GAATGTGCGGATTCCTTGGTCCCCTCGACGGACTTCGAGACAGCCTTGAAACAGACCCTGTGGATTTGTATCATTCGCGGCAGTGGCTACCCCAAGTGCGGCCACCCAATAAAATCCATTCCCTCCGGCGTAGAAAAGGCTACCGTCCCGGCAAAGGTGAGACGTGTAGGCGTTCAACGACTCGAGCGTCGGATATTCAGGATGACATCCCGCGATCAGCACATCATACTGGTCGAGACAGAGCCTGTCATCCGCGGCCTCAAGCTGCGAGATGTGGAGATCGTGATCCGTGAGGACATCGTAGGGTATTCCCAAACGCTCCAGGAGACCGATCATAAGTAGGTCGGCACTGAACTCGCGTGGGCGGTGGAGGGCCCAGTGGATGTAATCGGGCCTCATGTTCAGTAACGGCCGTCGAGGTGATGAATAAACGACACCCGACCCATCGCGGTGGACGTCGTACAGAGACAAGCCGAGGTCGGTACGTCTCACCATGCGATCGAACTGCCAATCCTTTCGCACAGCAAAATCGTGACTTGGATGCTCCAGCTTGGAGGATTTCGACTGGTCGTACATGCGCTCATTTGCATACGCGAGGTAGGTAAAGGTGGACAGGACAAATCCAGTCCTCGGTCGCCTCACTCCATCGGATGGTCCTCGGGAGGGCCGCACAAAGAAGACAACATCATCCATCGCCAAGCCGTTGACTGCCTCGACACGGACAGAGTACGCTCCCGATCGAGCTACAGAGGGAACACGGATGCGAAAATCCGTCTGCCAGCCGGCATCGTCAAGATCGTCCTCGTGGAAATGAATGGCTCCATAGCCGTAACTAGCCTTGGTCCAATCTTCCTCGCTCCCATCCCATTCATGATCCGTTACTGCTCGTGTCGGACTATTGAACACGCGCCCGAGTGTGCTCCTACCACTGGTGTCAAATAGGGTACTTGAGTGGACGTCACGCGCAAAGTCGTATTTTACAGTGACTGTCTCCCCAGCGCCGTTATCACCAGAGGAAACCCGGATCGTCGGATTCGCGATGCGACCGTTGAAGAACGCACATATCTGGGCCGTAGACTCATTCGCAGACCTTGCGTCCATCGCTGCAAACATCAGAGGCGCTATCTTCGGCTGCTCAAATTGGCAACGGAGACGACGGCTCGTCATTCTGAACGCACTCTGGAGTGGTTTCTGAGAGAAGGTGGGAATTGGGGAGAGCTCAAAGTCCAGAGCACCTGCTTGCGAAATCCATAGCTCCAGCTTGATCCATTGCTTGTTTTCCGGATGAAAACCAGTCTTTACTAGTTCCTTGTTAGAACCAGTGCCTACCACGAGATCGACTCTTCCCGCATCGTTGAGAATCACCGCAAACCCAGAGTTGGTCGTGCAATCCAGGGTGGACAGGATGCACTGATCGTGCCCTGCTACTGGAAGATAGGAGCAGAAATGTAAAGAGATATGCACCTTATTAACGTCTTTCGTCGTGTTTGTTAGGGCAGAGTCTGTGATAATCGCATAAGAGCCCGGAATTGCCATTTGAAACCGTCCTTCCTGCAGTTTAGATGGGATTGCTGTGATTTGTTCCTCCTTCTTCTGCGGGTATACCTTTCCTTCAAGGCCCTGAACCAGTCGAACGACTTTGTACGTGTACGCCGGCTCCGTACATGAGATCTACCCATCACGTTCTCAGTATGCTGGCTATGTCGGGGTGATGCTGAATTGGAATGGACGATGGCTAGCACGGTTCAAGAGGAAACACTGGCTCACCAGAAGTTCTAAGCCGAAGAAACAGGCACTAGCGGCTGTAGCTTACAGGTACGGGGTTCTCAACGAGACAATGGAGGAAAGACTTCACATACCTTAACATCAACCTCATCTCCAGGATTGACGATCCAAGGTTCTGCGTACCCTATAATTTCCGGAGGATAATCATCAGGTACCGCGCGGAGAGTTGGACCCATGTTGAATGTCTGGATTGTGGAAGTGATAGCAACGAATGCCTTGGACGAATATACCGGGCTATTGTGCTTGTGAAAAAGATGAAACTGGCTGTGTATTCAACACTTGTGCAAGCCCATCGGTATTCGTAAACAACGAAACTGAAAATTCAGACTGATGTTCGACCTCGCACCTCGGGAATGAGAAGCATAGACTCTTAAGTGCCCAATGTTGAGCGCGTTCTTGAACTTGCCTTTCTAGCCGTCTCGCCAGAGATACAGAAATGAACATCGTGTGTTATCGCAATATCTGCTTTTGCGTTTCATCAATGTGCCTTACTACTGGGACACCATCCCCCAGGTATGTGAGAAGTCTTAAGCCTGTTTTGGTAACTGACCTAATCGGGCAGTTGGCGACCCGTGCGAGAGCGTAAGACGGAAATGGATCACCGTATCCCTCCCGCTCGGCTTGTCCGTATCAGTATCTCCGAGCTAATGTAATCTTTGAGACTAGGGAAGGCATATGGACAGTTATCTCTGTTCCACAGAGCCTCGGTCTGGCAAAAAAGTCGAATTACGTCCCTGAATCTCTCCCTAGCATCAGCAAGAGGTACAAATGTCCTTAGGTTTCCCCCCTTGAGCGAAGATGGTGCTGGATCATACAGATCATCTCAACTCATCCTTATTCTGAACAACGGACTGCTGCATCATCGTCATGCCGGATTCAGTGAGAGCAGGGGACGCTCCGCTGCGAACGTCTGAGGTAGCCATTCCAACAAGCAAGTGGCGGCTCAATCGGCCTTTCAACCAGAACATGATTGTCGGATGGTGAGTGGTCCACACACAATACTTCCCTGGCCAGTTTGAAAACAAGCTCCACGAGATGGTAGAGCTTTCCCGGCTCTTGTGGAGAGTATGGTACGTTTTCCTGACGTAGCTGACGAAGACATATGCTTTTGTCATTATAGTATCCTTTTCTGTTTGCCTGGGATCTACTTGGCTCTGACTGGCCTTGGAGCCGGTGGAGGAAAGCCATCTTCGCAGATAGTGGCATCCAACACCAACGCGTGAATGCATCCAGAAGCCTTGGGCTTCATCATGTGTTTTTGAGTTCATGGACTAACTTGATACGCTCTATTAGCATACTATACGGTCTGTTTACAGTATCAGGATGCCTGGGTGGATCAGTGTTGAATCTCATCAAACCCAAGCTTACCTTGTGAGTCGACGTCGTGCTTGAATGTCGGGAACACCCCTAGGACAGCCTTCTAAGGTTGCACAGTGTTATCGGAGCCATTGGCTATCCGCTCTATGTTGGAGGACTTTGTAAGATATATGCTTCCGGCCTCTCGGTGTCCCCTAGAACCAGGAACTGACGACGCGGGATAGGGTATTTTGATCGTGAGGGCTACCAATGGTTTCCATTATTCGGTATGTAAAAGCTTGCAGCCTCTTTGCGGCGCGTCAATCCGTGGCTGACTCTTCTGTTCTCGATGCCGACAGCTGGAGCGATGCTGGGGATCTCTGCCGGCTTCCTGTGGACAGCCTGTGGTTTTATCCAGCTTGCATATGCCGAGGAGCAAGAAAAGGCGATGTACATCACGATCCAATGGGCCATGACCGCCTTTGGAGGTACTGTCGGATCCTTGATCGCATTTGGCATCAATTTTCAGGGGACAGACGCGAGCGGCGTTTCAACTCCAGTGTACGCCGTCTTTGTCGTCATCATGTGCTGCTCGATCGCCATTGCGTTCTTCCTCATAACCAGACCAGAACAAGTCGTTCGCGACGATGGTACTCATCTCGCTGTGTTCCGTGCTACTGACGCCTGGACCGAGATCAAGGGTATCGGTGAAATGTTCACCGATCCAAAGATTGTGCTGCTCTTGCCGGGAATCTTCGTGGCGGAGATGGCTCTGTCAATAATGAGCAGCATCAATGGTGAGTCGAAGCCGATCCTGTCAAAGTCCCTTGTGGACCTCCTTCTCTTCATGAATCTGACCTATGGGTCCAAGGGTATTTTTTCAATCTGAGAACACGATCCTTGAACAACATCATGTTCCAATTTGTCATGATCCCCTTGCCTCTCGCCCTGGCCTGGGCAATGGACACTCGTTTCATCAAGAGACGCCGCAGTCGAGGGCTTTTGGGTTGCTCCATCATCGGTGTAGTGACCCTTGCCACCTACAGCAGCATGGCAGTCTTTATCAAGATCAACGACATTGACAGGACCAAGCCACCGCCACAGGTCGACTGGACCGATAGCAGGTTCGCTTGGGGATTCATTTTGTACCTGCTCAGCGGCATTATATACGCCGGCTTCCAGATCTGTGGACAGTGGATCCTCGGGGCCTTGACGAACGAGCCCGCAAAATGTGCGCGCTATGCCGGTCTATACAAGGGATTTACCAGCCTGGGTCTCATGACCGCGTTTCTCATGGATGGTCAAGGGGTCTCATATGTGACACAGCAGATTGTTCAGTTTGTCCTCTATGTGGTCGGTTTGGCCTCTTTGTTTGGAATCACCTGGTTTTGTGTGAAAGACACAAACTACTTCCTCGAGGCAGACGTGATTGTGCCAAAGCATGTCGAGGCCGAGATTGTGACCCAGGGCGACGGAATAGAGCTCGGGAAAGAGCAGGAGGAGAATGCTGTGGACATCAGTGGGGAAGAGATCGAGGATCAGCAAGGTAACTTGAGTCCAAAGCGGTAGTTGCTCTAACATGGTCAAATTGAGGTGGGTCAGAAGTGCTATAGCCCTAGGCCAGAGCAAGGTGGTGAAGTGGACTTGTAGCGGTATGCTAGGGCACAGGTAGAGATCAACGATACCTATCTTGTTGAACTCTGCTCGGCCTTTTGACTCGATGAGAGAAGTCCCTAGACAGATCAAGTAAGTGGACGGTTTAGGCAATTGCCAGTCTTGACGTGCTTATCTACCTTGGTTCAATGCCAACTTAAGAGATATATATCCCGTGTCACAACATTGTGGTGGCGATAGGGCTTGTCTTCCTGCGACTGCTGCTGTCATGGTAAATGTTGAAGCTTCGAACAGATCATATCCGCATAAAGTCGTTGACCTCGAGGCCCTCCGAGCGTATAAAGGCAAGATGTCTCACATTCGTTGCGTCAACTATCCAGGATACGAGACGATAGCAGAAAAATATGGCCTTTCGGCAGCGGTCTGTATCTCGGCTGGAGCTCGGCTGGTCGTGACCTCAGGCCATGTTGGCATGGACGAGGAAAGGAATATGAAGGTCGACCTCCGCGAGCAAATGGTGCTCGCGTTCAAAGTACGTCTCCAGGAAATTTGTCCACCGAGATACGTCAGAACTGACACCTGGTCACGTCCTAGAACGTGGAACGGTCGATCCACGCATGCGATCCAAGTTTGACGGCAGACCAGATCTGGGGCTCAGTCTACAAAGTGACATCTTATCACGTTGGCGGCGTGGATGAAGGTGTTACCGATCTGCTGGCATCCGTGGCCAAAGAGTACATGGGCATCCATCGCCCTGCGTGGGTGGCGGTCGGAGTTGAGACTCTTGCGGCAGGCACATTCGAAATGTGTGTGTCCGCAGCGTTGCCCGGGGCGAGAGAGGCTGCAAACCGCAGCATATCCAATATCTGAAATGAGTCCCAAGGATCATGGGCCAGGATGGCAATCAGCCAAAACAAATTCGGATCTGGAGCAAGTTCTGAGAATCTTTGCGACCTTTTACGTCCACGATCTGACCCCACCACACTTGCTCAGGGCCATGAGTGGCTTGAGCCGTCCAGACTTCTTCCAGTAAGGGAATCATGCCACCAAACATATAATATCCAGTCCGATCATGCCAGGCAGAACAGAGTTCTCTGATAGTATTGCGCGCGGAGGGATCAAACATCTCGCAACCTGCGAAGAATAGAGGAAGTAGAGCTTGCCTAGCAACGAACTGGTCGTCACGGCATGAACAGGCATGATCCAAAACAGTCCTGGCGCGATAAATCACCCAGCCTGGAGGTCTATCGCCAGGCGTCCACCGGAACACGCGGTAGATGTAGAGGAGGAGCCCGTTGCGCCATGCCTCAGAACAGTGAAGTCGATCCACATCTTGGTGCACCTTCTCTTCATCGTCGAACGCTGTGTCAGAGGGTTTATGACTCCAGGTTTCAAGGGACTGTTCGATTTCTAAAACGAGGCTGTCATCGAAGGAAACCCAGCGCATAGACGCGGACTTTTGCTTTTCTTCTGCCAGATGTGCCAGCTGAACCAGCGGGACCACAAGACTGCGTGGGCAGCCGCATAGTCCAAAATACGTGAAAAATCGGTCGTCCGCGCAGGCCAGAACTGATTCAAAATATTCGTAGGGAAAGATGCATGGGGTTCTGTTGACCAAGCTGATCACTGCATCCCACCTAGAAGATTAATTTTAGTTTCGACATACTTGGAGCTGTGATATCGCGGTTGAAGTCGACCCACCAGGTAAGAAGTGCAACCTGAACCGCAGTACGAGGGTTTCTCGTCCAGGCCTCTACGCCACCACTTAGCTGCACGACGTTGTAAGCGCCAGTGAGGTGCGTCGTCCAGCTACCGAGTAGCGAGTATGCTTCCTGGAGTATTCCTGAGCCAACTTGCGATGAGAGCGGGGGAAAAGCAGCTTACATCCAGAGAGAATAAAGTAATAATCGTGTCAAGTAATGAGGCAGCGATTTGGATAATGTTATCATTGTTGAGGGCTTGGCGGAACAACTGAAGGGCAATTTGACTGTGATTTATTACCGCCTCTGAAAGCTGATGTCGTCCGCTGCTGCTGAGCGACGAATGGTCCGTGTGGTGACATGCCAAAGCAAGTACGGCGTGTAGGAGATATCCAGACTTTTGTAAGGCGTTCATGGGAGACCGAAATGGGTTCGCCGGCATGTCCGAAGTCAACGGGATAAGGCAGAACTCATTATTGTCTGGCGATAGTCAATATGCTTGGCCAGAAAGGTTCAAATGCGTGGGAAATTATTACACCTCTCGAAAATAGGTTCCAGCCACTCAAACTGCCCGGTATATAGAGGACGAGGGGGAATAGTTTGAAGGAAATGGTACAACGATGCCCGTATATCCATGGAGGCTGCGGCAAAAGGTCGATGTGAGAGCTCTGGGCTTGTGACGGTCTCAGATCCATCAAGACCATCGGCGAGCTCGTCAATCGTTGATTCGGAGTCGAACATCATGTCAGAAGGTATTCCAACTTGGCTCTGATTTTCAACATAATTGGGATCGAGATGGAACTCTTGCTCGTTGATTGGTGAGTTCGGGGACGAAGGCAGGAGGATCGTGTTGAATGACGTTGGCTCATCGAGGTCCAAAGGCGCCGCTACAATGGGAATCTCGTTGTCTGAATAGAATTCTTCTGCACCCAACTCATTGAGGTTGTCGGGCTCCGGCACACTGGTGTTTTCATTGTACATGTAAATGTCTTCCGCGCTTGGGTCTGCTCGAGCGTTCATCATATCAGATTCGTGACCAGGCATACCTATGTCCGGAAGACGAGAATTGCTAGCAGTAGATTCATCATTGGACGACGGACGTTGCTGTGTCCTGTTGGCTGCTTGCGAAGAACTTCGAGGGGCGGGCGGCGCGCGAGTTTCGCCATAATCGAGGGACGATTCCACAAGATGCTCACTGATGAATTCCAACTGGCGTGGGCCCGAAGCGTCGTCATATCCCCTCCATCTAGACCTCCGTGCAATCGACCGCTTGACTGGCTTCTTTTCGAGGGAGAATCCTGGTTGCCAGGAGAGTTGTACTGTAAATCCACCGCAAGTGTTGCCAGACTTCTCACAATTTCCACAGCGCGGACGGACACGGTCGCACTTCCACCGGCGGGCAACACAGGTATGACAATCATTCCTTACAGATCTTGGTGGACGACCTCTGCGAGGTGTCGAGGGCTGAGGTTCCATTGCAAGGCAGGTTAAGGAATCGAGAGATTATTAACATCGGGTGGTAATACATAGGCAAAGGGTTTAGTGTTCCTTCCTCCGTCCGAGTATCAAGAAGGATCTAGGCTCTCGTCGTTGAAGGGCCATCAGTTTGCAGATTAGATAGTCTCTATTGAGTTGTTGACAGGCCGCGTGGTCAATCACGCCCTAGGGCCTATGTGCTTGTCCGCGCACGTGACGGACGGGGTTTGCCAAGGCAATGTAATGACGGTCACGCTAGTGCCCCGGTGGCAATCTGCTTCGCGCTACTCCGTTACCTATGATTAACTTCCTTTTTTAATTACTACCTATAGTTAGGCGGGTTAAGGCCCCTGTAGAACTCATTATGTTGATCCATGGAGTCACAGCACCTAGAGGTCAATGCAACGTGCCTTGCATGAGCCTACGTCTTGTTAAGACCATAGAATCAACCCATCGATTCGCCGCTAGGTCTACGAGGATGAGCACAGCATGTCAGCGGCATACAATAGTACGTCCGACGTTGATCAAGATTCGTCCTTCTGATGGACCAAGTCGAACCCCTGCCAGCCCTCTAACTTCTCCCAACACTGTCTTTCATACATCTCAATTCCTCCGGGATGTGTCAGCATCTGACCCTTCTTGCCGGGGAGGTTCGCTTTGTTCCACCAGCTATCAGTGAAAGGAAACAATGTAGGTCCGTTCAAATCCTCGATAACGGCATCCCAATCATCTTCCGCAGTCTTGGTAGGCTCGAACGAACTCACGCCCTCTCTCTCCAGCTTCTCAATAGCTGAGGTGACCCAGTCTGCTTGCATTTCGATCATGGTGATACCGTTTGACAAAGCGGAAGGGGCTGGGTTTTGTTCAGTTAGAGTCGATCAACAGTCACCCGAAAGGGAGCAAACAGAGAGCTTACCTTGAGGTGAATAAACCATGAAAGTATTGGGAAATCCAGAGAAGGTCATCCCCAGGTATGTGCGGATTCGATCTTGCCAAATCTCTTTAATATCCTGACCTTCTCGACTTCGAAGACCCATTTTGAACAATCTAGCCCAGAAGGTGCGGGTTAAGGAAACCGGACTAACCTGGATCACACAAAAGAAGATGGAGAGAGCACTTACGAGCCAGAGAATGAGTCGAACCCGGTAGCCAGGATGACGACATCAAAGTCCTTCTGCCTGTCTGTCATAATGCCGGTCTCATTGAAGGTCTGGATAGGTGTTTCGACAAGGCTGGCGATCTCGACATTGTCGCGGTCTAGCATTTCATAATAATCTTGCTCCAAAGGACACCTCTTGGTCCCGAAATAGTAAGGCGGACTTTTGGGAACCATGAGCTCTCTTTTCCTGGCATCCCGCAGCCGTGGAGATGTCTTTTTCTGCCAGAAATCGTACACGAGCCTATTCGAGTCTTTGCTGACCATAATGTCTCGGTAGTTGAACATGGTATAGTTGAAGGCCCCTCGTCGCCAGAGCTCTTCGAGGAATCTCTCCCTATCCTCATCGGAGACATCGACAGCGTCAAACGGTGACTGACGTCCCGGGAACCCAGTGGCGCTCTTCCTGCCGTCACGGAACAGCGCCTCGAAGTACGTCTTCCATCCGGTCTGTTCATGGTCGCCAAGAGTTCGTTGACACATGGGAAGACATATACTCGGCCTTCGCATGAAAACAGTCATATGCTGGGCTTGTTTGGCCACTTCCTGCACCACTTGAACCGCAGTTGCGCCAGCACCGATTACTGCAACCCTCTTTCCGTTGAGGTGGACTTGCTCAGGATAGTCGGAAGTATGATAGAGTGCACCCTTGTAATTCTCGATGCCGGGGAAATTTGGTGTGAAAGCCTGGTGGAGGAGTCCGGTACAAAGTATTAGATACTTCGACTTGAAAATGTGCCCCTGTCGCGTTTTGGTCGTCCAACCCCTTCCGTTCCATTGCACATCATTAACGTGAGCGTTGAAAGTGACATCCTTGCGTAAGTCCAACACGGTGTCAACGTGGGCAAAATAACGTCGCAACTCAGCAGACCCGGGAAACTTCTCACTCCATTGCCAGTCTCGATAGACCTCGGGGATACTCAATTGGTAGAATGGCCATTCCGAGTCGACGCGTGCTCCAGGATATCTGTTCCAGTGCCAGACTCCACCGAAGTCGTCTCCCGACTCGAGAACTCTGCAACTCAGTCCAAGCTTGCGTAGACGATGTAGGGTAGCAATGCCACTGAACCCAGCTCCAACAATGATGGTATCGTAGACAGTCGGAGAGGTGCTGTTGGTGATCGGGTGGCCGGTGATTCCATTCTCCATGCTGAAGACGACGTTTGCGGAACTGTTGGAACCAGAAATTATAAGATGTTACCAGAAACGTAGATTCCGGGCAAGATGAAAGAATTCACAATCGCCTGTCAAGATTATCTCATTTGGTGGGAGACTTATACTCAGAGACAGACGTGTCCCGACCGACATGAAGTCTCTAACCGGAACTGTGGTAACAAGTTTCTCAACGAGCTCTCTAACTTCCCAAAATCCTCAAGACTCCACAGTCGGGCAAAAGTGTGGTAATGATGCCAAAGGCATGATCATGACCAAAAAGAGCAATCGACCCTAAATGGAAATCCTCTTAGGAAGGTGCTCTTGCTCGCTTCGTGGAGATCGTCTTGACGAATAAAGCCAGGTTCGCTAGAAAATCCCCTCCCATCTGAATAGGACTGGTGCAAAGAGTGCAAAATTCTTTCGGGGCATAGAGTCTCATTGAGGTCTTTATCCAGGCTTTGCTGATTCTGGTCTTGCCAAGTAAAAGACCCAATTTTGGTACACAAGGTGCATCCCTTCCCAGACTTATTTGCTCTCAATTCACCATGTTGTCTTCTCTAAGAGCGCCAGACTTGCTCCTAGGGACCACCCAACCTCATAGCTATTGATCTTGTTTACAATCCGAAGTTGACGGCTCTTTGTCACCTCGAAGCCATCGTGAAGCAACGCTTCCATATATTGCAAGTCCAGACACCATTCCGGCATCTCCAGTAGAACTTCCACCACACCACCAACATTCCCAAATAGAGCCGGCCACGCGCTCTCACCAGCACAGACCTTCAAGACGAGCTCATGCAGGTCAAACAAAGTGAATGATTCCTGGATCCCAAGAGGGTGGGTACGATCGTAGAAATATGAGAGGACGTAGACGTCACCGGAGACCACCTCCTCAATCAAAGGCTGATGTACACCGTTGATCGAGCAAGGTGACGTCGGACATGTTGTGTCATCTTTGTTGAGGATCTCCTTGATCAACTCTCGACACTCTGTCGCGGTAGTTTTGTTGTCAGACTCGTTGGCAGGTCCTTCCATCACAACCTCGTGTTTGCCGGAGAGGATGTGGTCATCAAGGGCGACTTTGATGCAGCTCCCCACTGGAAGACAGGGGTTAAGAACCGGCTGCGAGAGACCATGATGTGGCGAAGCTCGATCAACAACCGATTGGTGTAATGTCTTCCGCGCCGCCATCAACCCGTAACCCAAATGGGAATACTGATACAACTGTATCTCTTTGCCTCTGAAATCCAATCTGTGGACAAATCTGTCTTCTGTGAGGTCAGTTTGTAAAGCCTTTCCCTTTTCCAATTCCTGCCCAGGTAGTTGCTGAAATACCACTTGTAATGAGCCACCGCCCAAGTCAAGTAATGCCGCTGTATGCATACCGCCATCGCGACCGGGTTCCAGATTCCCGAGGAGATAATTGGCAGTGAGCCAGGCAAACACTGCCTCATCCTCTCCATCCATGACTTCGACGCCTCCACTTTCGCGCGACACAACCGGAAATGGAAATCGCGCCTCAAGTCGTGCTCGGACAGCCTCCAGTATTTCCGACGCTGCTCGAAAACCCAGCAGTCGAAGGCCTGCCGTTGCCTTTACGGCAACAGGTGTACGTGAATGGAACTCTCGAGCCACAGCCGATTGTGCAAACTTCATAAGGTCGTCGAGACTGGCCGCGGCCTCTTCCGGGTCGTCGTAAGAGCTCAGTCCTGATCCTCCCAGCCTTGCCTCCGTCATTTGGAAGTGTTCCTCTTCCAATTCGGGTGTTCCGCCGCAGTTGTTGAATCTGTAGACGTGAATTCGGCTTCCAGTACTTCCCGCATCGATCATGATTATATATTGAACAAGTGGCTTCCTCAGGTCGTGCGGTACTGTGCATTTTGTTGTGGGTGGCGTGCTTTCGACCGTGGAAAAATGAGCAGCGGTACCGCTAATTTCAGTCAGGACTGAATCTTTATCAAGGATCTCTGGCTGAATATGATCGGGCCGGACATCTACGACGGGAAACTGGTAGAGGAAAAGGACAACGGCCACGATACAGAATACCTTGATAAACAGTGTTCGCAGACTCGACATCCTCGAGGCACTTCGAATTGGTCCAATCATCGAGAGGTCGTATGGTTTGAAAACATTTAGTACTGGTGCAGACTATCGCGCTTCAATGACTGGTTACAACCTGGTTCAGTTGGAATAAATGAGACTGAAGTGATTGCGTTGAAGTCCATGATAGACACCTGTGTCTCCAGCCTCCCGATGCCCTTCACATGTATCCTCAGGAGTTTACATCGGCGCCTCCTCACATGCGCATCCGAACTGTGGAGCTGGCCCCGGAAAGGTGAACAGGCGCAACCACGGTCAACACACTGGTCCAATTTTGCCATCCTGAACCTATGCAACAAAGATACATTTGCGAGGAGGACCCAGAAATGAATTTGCTCCTAGACTCAGGAGGAACAAACCTCGACGACCATGTCCTTCGAAGCTTAGCCCTGAAGCCATACCGTATTTAGAACCTTGCCACTTTAGGCAATTACCGCTTAGGGAAGCTAAAGAGCAAGGTTCACGCCGACCTGGCACGCACGGACGGATTGATTGTTCGAGGGTGATCGGACCCTTGACCTTGATTGATGCGGCTCGCCATGGACAGGTATTTCAAAGCGGTCTCCAGCCCCAGATTTCTCATGTGGATGCTGTGTCTAAGAGAATTCACCTTTCCAAAGGGCGGTGGACGTTGACTCCGATATCATCATACCACCTGGCGTAGAATGGACGTTGAAAGCAAAATGGGCGTGGATAGCAATGCTGATGATCGCGAGCTCGAAGCTCAGGGGTATCAGCGTGCGATGCCTCGAAGATACTCTTTGTTGTCACTTCTATCACTTTCCTTCGCCCTCACTGCCAGCTGGAATGGTTTTGGAAGCGCTATTGGTACGGGCCTTGGGGAATTTGGATCTGCTGGGATCCTGTGGACGCTACCCATTGCGGCGGCCATGAGCTGGATCGTGTCGCTGGGAATGGCAGAGCTGTCGTCTGCTTACCCCAACTCGGGAGCGCAGTACTACTGGTCTTTTCGAGTTGCGACATCAGCATGGGCTCCTTTTGCGTCTTATGTGTAAAGTTCCCCCTCGCACATGATGCTTCGATAGCTGTTCACCGCTCACACCTTTCGCTTTAGCTCCGCTTGCGTCAGCACGGCTGGCTGGTGGCTTGGGAACGCCAGTGTCGCCAATTTCATTGCGGCAATGATATTGGCGATGGTGAAGATATCCATCCCAGACTATGTCATTCAACCGTGGCATCAGTGGCTGCTTTACGCTGTCATACTCTGGCTCGCAGTGGCGATCAATGTCTTCGGCAGCCGCTTTGTCCCGTTGTTCTCCAAATTTATACGTGAGTTTGCTGTTCGCTTTGGGTATCCGGCGTTGCGGCTAGGATTTTGACCGTGGCAGGAGTGCAGTGTACTTTTCGCTCACCTCTCTTACCGCCACCATCATCACCATCTTGGTCTGCGCGGCCCCCAATTTCCAAAAGGCTTCCTGGGTATTTGGAGATATCACCCATGCTTCAGGATGGGATAACAAAGGGCTCCTGTTCCTACTGTGTCTCTTGAACAACGCATATGGGTTCATGGGCACTGATGCCGGTGCACACCTGTCAGAGGAGATCCCAAACCCCATGGTCAATGTCCCCAAGGTTATAGTTATGCCGGTGCTGATCGGGTTGATTACGAGTAAGTTTTCCCACCTTGTCTGACGCCGCGAGCCATAGAGTGCTGACAGCATACTACGTAGCATGGCCGTTTGCTCTCGCATGTTTGTTTGTTATTGTGGATGTCAACCGAGTTATCGCTCCGCCGAGTGGCCTCCCATTGATAGAGATATACTATCAAGCAACCGGGAGTAAAGCTGCAACGATCGCGCTCCTGGCAGCCTTCGCCTTCTGCATGTTTGGCTGTGCCACTGCCAACGTGGCTGGATCGAGTCGTCAGATCTGGGCGGCCTCTAGAGATAACACGTTCCCGGGCTCTCTTTGGTGGTCTCAGGTATCTCCTCGCTTCCAAATGCCTCTGAATGCGGCGGTTCTCTCGGGATTCGTACCAACGGTAGGTTCGACCAAGATTTGGAATGACTGACCATGTTTCGACGCTGACGGATTCTGTGCCCCTTCCAGATCTATGGTCTGATTTTCCTCGGATCGTCTACCACCTTTGCATCCATGGTTGGCGCCAATATTGTCTTCATGATGACTTCCTATGTGATCCCACAAGGAATACTCGCATGGAGGGGCCGAGCAGTCCTCCCGGAAAGACATCTCAATTTGGGGAAATGGGGAGTGGTCGTCAACGTAGTAGCGTGTTCGTGGTGTGTATTCCTGGACATAATAGCTTGCATTCCTATTACGAGACCGGTCACAGTCACGAACATGAACTGGGTGAGGTAAGTGAAGCCATACTCGCGGACTCTTGATCCCCGGAAGTTGAACTACCGCGTTACTGATGAACTGCCCAGCGTCGTGATCGTTGGCATCACAGCATATATTCTCATTACTTGGTATTTGTGGCAACGTCATGTGTATACGGGTCCTAAAGCCAATTTCCAGCTCCAGAACACCATTCATCATGAAATCTTACATCATGAAAGCCAAGGGGGGCCGGCGACCATTGTTGGTGTTGAGCTGGACAAATCGAGCCTGGAATATGGCCAGAAATCTGTCAAGGGGGATTGAGCATACTCGGGTCTTTCTGTCATGGCGTGCCATGCCTTCTCTGGTTAAGTGTTCCTGCTGATCTCACGCGGACAGTAGGCTTCACCTTGATCCCCCTCCGAGACAGTGAATAATCTCTATATACACATATCAAGCAGCCTGTCCGATCATCTTGCATGCGAGACACCTTCCCTTCTACCTTCAAGCTCGACCGCTTCATTGCACACTTCATCGCTCGCACTGCGCTCACAGCAGCGCGCACATTCTTGCAGAACTTGATTAATTGTGTGTCTGCCTATCTACTCGTTGCTCCTGACACTGCAGGAAAAGCAGATGCACTCACACCTCTCGCGTACTCATCAGCCAATCATAGCACCCTTGGCAGGACCCCCCTGGGAGGAGAAAGACAAGTAAAGATAAGCGTGATCCAATCGTGCTTGGTTAACGCGACCGAAATTCAATGCATGCCTCATGAGAAGATCTGGGCCCACAATTGCGTGCTCGCCAGCCTTGTCAAAACCCGAGAGCACGGCATCAGCCGTGGATCCTTTACGTGGGATACTCCGTATACAGATAGCTATATATTGAAACATGGCACATTTGCTTGACGCGGAACACGAGCCGTCATAATTCCAGCAAGTTCGTGAGAAGAAGAATACTCTACAACCTGTTCAAAGTACGGTGAAACCCCTTGGCCATCAATCTGTTCACACATCGTCCACGCCTGCGAGATGGCGAAAGAAGACCTGGAGCCTGTCGCTGCCTCCTCACCCGAACCAGCACCGGCGGAGAAACAACGCAGGAGAAGCAACGCCGATGCAGCTCTTGAGCTCCTAAACAATACGGGCGGTCTTCAACAACCCATCGATCCAGCTCGACAACGTCGACTCCTGAGAAAGATCGATCTACATATCATGCCACTCATCTGTCTGGTATACTTCCTCCAATACATCGACAAGACGTCGCTGTCGTACGCTAGCGTGACTGGCCTTCGAGAATCGGCTCATCTCCATGGGAATCAGTTCAACTGGGTCGCGTCAATCTTCTTCTTTGGCCAATTAGCGTTCGAGTTTCCCACGATCAGGTTGTTGCAGGTATTCCCACTCGCGAAATACGTCAGCGTCAACGTTGTCATCTGGGGTGGTGTCCTAGCTGCGTTGGCCGGGTGTAAAAGCTACGCAGGTCTGTTGGCATGCCGATTCTTCCTCGGTGCAGCTGAGGCCGCCGTCGTGCCTGCTTGGGTTGTACGTTTCTCATCTCCCTTGGCAATTGGCTTGCAGAACGTTCTAGGTTGAGCACAACTCACTGACTCTACCTTCTCCTCCGCCGCAGGTCTTTACGAGCCAATGGTACCGGAAAGAAGAACAAGCGTTCCGTGTCGGTATCTGGTTCAGCATGTGTGGCTTCGCCCAGATGTTCGGAGGGTACTTTGCGTACGGCGTCGCCCGACACGTCGGAGGAGATGTCCACGCCGCGCTGCGAGGATGGCAAATCATCTTTTTGATCCTCGGTCTCCTGACCGCCGTGGTCGGCGTGGCCTTCTGGTTCGTTCTGCCGGATTCGCCTGTCGTGGCTGGGTTCTTGTCCGGGCAGGAGAAACTCGAACACGTCGAACGGATCCGCGGCAACGAGCAAGGCATCGGATCGCAGACGTTCAAATGGGACCAGTTCCGCGAAGCACTGACGGATATCAATACGTGGCTGTACGCGTTTTGGGTCTTTGCCGCCAACATCCCCAACTCGATCGCCACGAGTTTCGGCAACATCCTCGTCACGGGCATGGGGTACAGTAAACTCAACTCTCTGTTGTTGGTGACCCCCCTGGGGGCGTACGAGGTTGTTGTGCTCCTCGGCGTGACATACATCGCCATGAAGACCGACCAGCGGTTGTGGTGTTGCATCCTGACACACATCCCGTCCATCGTCGGTGCGATCTTGATGGCTTCCACGGAAAAGGCATCTGCCCTAGTCGGGTACTATCTCAGCGGTGGCATCCCGATAGGCTGGACTACGATTCTGGGGCTTCAAGCCACCAACGTTGCTGGGTCCACGAAGAAGATCACCGTGACGTGTATAGGTAAGCACTCGCACCGCCTGTTACTCGTATCCTCGCAGATGTGTGCGAGTGATCACATTGCTGCACAATATGACTGACCAGGTATTCCTTGAAACCAGGCACGATAGCATACACAGTCGGAAACATCATCTCCCCACAGACGTTCCAAGCCCGCGATGCTCCACGATACTTGCCCGCCAAAATATCAATTGTCATCCTCTATTTCCTGATCACGGTCGATCTGTGCCTTATTCGGTACGTGTACGTTTTTCGCAACAAGAAGAGGGACGCGGCCAAGTCGGAACGAGGCGAGGACTATGTGTTGGAGGAGAACCATGAGTTTCAGGATCTGACGGATATCCAGAATCAAGAGTTTAGGTATTCGTTGTGATGGAGCATAGTACTACGGAGTAGGACTAGTGAGAATTATAGGCATTAGTGACTATCTAGGCGTGAAAGCGCAAGGTCATGAGAATTACTCCTAGGATGCAGGTAACCCGAGAAATGCACGTGATGTCGGCGTCTGCAAAACTATCCCCACTATAACCTTGGCATTTGGTGGAGTTGAACCCGCATCCTGCGCCAGCTTCTGCAGCCTTCGACATTCTTCACATACGTCCAAAGCACAACTTGTTCAACTCTGCTCTAAATCCCGCAGCTTTCCTCTTATTACTTCCTTCGAATCTTATCATCTCTCCAACACACTCGATCTTCAAAATGCCTCGTTCTCGTGGTGGTGCAGGACCTTCCCGATCGGCCCCGTCGAGGCCTACGGCTTCAGCACCTCGGGCTGCCGCGCCACAGCAGCAACAACACCGACCCATGTCGACCGCTCCCACGGCACCTGCTCAGCAAGCCCATGCTCCTCCGGCTCAGGCCTCACAAGGACCCGGTCTGTTCGGCCAGATGGCAAGCACTGCAGCGTAAGTTCTTTCTTGACCAGTTGATGAGATAATCTTTGTTACTGACGATGCGGTCTCATAGTGGTGTTGCAGTCGGATCCTCAATTGGCCACGCCATCGGCGGATTCTTCGGCGGCGGTTCCTCTGCCCCGGTCGAGCAACAACAGCAACCCACCGATGCCTATGCACAAACCGGAAATGCGATGGACAACAGACTGTACAACCAGACCTCGTCCGCCGAAGCTACCGGTCCTTGCGCCTCCGACATCAAGAGCTTCACCGACTGCATGAACCAAAACCAGGGCAACATGACAATCTGTGGCTGGTACCTCGAACAACTCAAGGCCTGCCAACAGGCTGCTCGACAATACTAGAATGACCCTGACGAGCTTTGATCATCCCGATGCTGGGTGGAAGTTGTTTTCATCAACATGTAAATAGCCAATAGCATTCTGGTTTCAGATGGCGGGAAGACCAAAAGAAAAACTCTGCTGCATTTGTATTGCGCGAAAGATGTATCAATATATAGTCAGCCAAGGGGGACACACAGGTCACCAATTCAAGCTTGTTACTCCTCTCAATGATATTTTGACAACTTACCGGTCCATTCTTGTTTGTATAAGGTGCGAAGAGAGGGGGATTGCCCTTCTCACAAGGACATGTTATGATGAATGGTTGCTCTTCATCACAGCATCGCTGGCGGTTGGTAAAGACTTCCAGTCGCCCTTCCCGTTGTGCTTGAGAAAGTAACTCACATGAGCCATTCTTATCAGACGAAATCTCCGCATTTGGGATCGAGATCTCATTTTCTGGTGCACCAGACTGCTCGGTCTAAATGAAGTCACATATTACAGAAGGACCCAGGTAAGCAACGTGAGGGTGGTTCTGTGAAGATGGTATCGTATCACAGATGAGGGTGCGGAATATCAGTCCGTGGCGCCGCGATGGGGTGCTGATGAAGGTGTCCATTCGCGCCAGCAACACGGAATTAGTGTTAATGGATCCGGTACAAAAGTACATGCTCGAAGGGTGTTGGGAGTCTAGGACTCTGATGGTCCTGCTGATGATCGACGATACATGCGTGCGAGAGGAGCAGGAAGTCGTCCCCTCGTTACTTACCTAGCCAGCTACCTCGTTATGATTTAGTTGCCGGGCTCAGCAACCGTGACCATGACCTCGGGACAATCAGTAATCTTGACGGTGTAAGCTTGAGAAGGATGCATTTGATTCCTGCCAGAAAAGGAAAATCAGCAATGGGATCTTGAAGCGTGCGAGCTCGGGGACGCTTCCAACTGGCTATATCGACATGAGTGAAGCTCACCGGTACCATATCGCTTAAAAATGTGCGGCTCTGCGAGTGGACAGTTCTGACCATGTGCCCAATGCAGGGCTGCTGTTTCAATCCGTGGTTGGGCTTTCTTTGCTGACCAAGGAAGGATTCGAATCCTTGTACTTTGGTGGGCAATTCCAACGGTCTGGAATTCGGGTATGCCTGAAGCTCTTGAACGAACACGAGCACACCCACAGAGGTATGTTGTGTACTAGATCCGGTAGAAGGGGTCAGCAAGTATCCCTGACCGTGCTCCAGGAGTCAGCACTTCCGTTGAATACCAATTAATGGGCCCCTCTTACTGGTCGCAGGTTTCTGGGAGCAGGTAAATAATCAAGGGCCTCGCACCCAATCTCGGAGCCACCTCAGAAATGATTTCTGATAAAAAACTGTGTGATGCTCCACTCAGACAAGTGGTGCTACTGGGACTTTTGGTGCGTGCCCGTCAGCATGGTGCTTGGTGTTGCTCATCCGCACAGTACTTGTCAGAATGCAATAAAGCAGCGAATCCTAGGGGGCCAAAATACATGATCAACAATCATGTACAGTAAGCAGAGGAGGAGAGCATTCAGGACGACCTCCAATGATGTGTTTCGTCCGATGTTCGGTCGACCCACGATGTTGGGTGCCTAGTGAGGCAGCAACAATTCTGAGGCGGCCTGATATGGTGGGTTGACAAATCAGGTGTGGAAGCGCAACACCACACCGAATTCAGCTCCTCGTGGAACCCAGGGCCGCTTTACTGGCCGCACATGAAACCGAGCTACAACTCTGGGTCAGTACTCTTGTGTGTATGCCACATGTGTCGATGCCACGGTCGGGGTTTCTTGTCCCCTCTGGGCATCTGATTATCTTGTGCTCGACCTGACAGCTCAAGCCATTCGCCAAGTACAGGCAGGAAAACGAGTACGAGTGCAGGTCCATTCCCAAGCCCTTGGCTACTTGAGTGAGTGCGTGTATGCAACAATCATGGCGAACCTTTTTTTCCAGGCGTTAATCAATAAAAGGGGGGCCTTTGCCTGGGCAATCAAACGCCATGGCTGCGAAGGGACCTATGCCGCGCTTCACAGCCACCGTCAAATCTGGGGAAGCCAAGTGCCAATACGAATATCGTAAGGAGTGCGAGTTTCGCGAATACGCCGGACGAGTTCGCTTCGGGGGCACATGGCAGATCTAAGAAAAGTACCAGCCCGTCTGCGGTTGGTTCGAGGGGCTGAGAAGACCAAAGTACAACTAGACACCCACAGGGCGTTCAATCACAGCCCTTCGTTCCCGGACACTCCACTTCCTTGATTTGGCGACTTCGAGAAGGTTGCCGCATCGAGAAAGCCGTAGTCGGGCGGGAAAAGTAGCGGCCTCTAGTGTTGCAACAAAGATCTCAAAGCCACCGCCAGCCCGCGTTTCTGACTCAGGCACCAGCGATTTCTCGCCCGTCTCCAGGACCCTCTTGCCTGATTGAGATCGATTTGCGAGTAACCAAAAAAACACACAACAACAACAACAAGCCACGTTTGGTGTTTGAACCATGGTTTCAGAAGCGGGCGCAGGAGGACATGTTGCTGCATCTACGGAGTAGTGGGGGTCAAAATCATTCGACTCATTCGCAATGAGTCGTACCACGAATACCTTTTTCCCCGACGGCCAACGCATAGTACTGTAAAGGGAGGTCCTGTGATAATAATGAAAAGAATTTTGTGCCGGTTTCCTAGTTGGGATGCTCTGCCAGAATACGAGTACGGGGTTACAGTACGGAGTACCTGGTATGTGCAAATATGACCATGCACAAGAATTGGTGTTATCATTGTCTGATTGTAGTCGCATGACATTTTGCGGTATGTGTACACAATCGAGCACGAGGACAAACAGAACATGGGGGTTTCTTTCGGTGACTAGGTAGGTAGGAACGTATCTCGTAGAGAGTGAACATAACTCCTTCGTACACCGTAAAAACTACCTACTGTACAAGTAAGGTTATGGACATAATGATTGAGACATTATTTCCGGTCAAAACCCATCTACTGTTGCTAATTGGTGACGACACGATGTGCATAAACCCCGGACGAACTCGGTCGTCGAGTCATCACTCACGGACCTGTGGACTTTGTGGATCGGGCGTGAACAATTCCTAAAGCCCGAGGCCAAAGGACAAGGTTTATGCAACCGGCGTCTGAAGCTAGACCACTTGCGGTAGTGCACAACTATCGAGTCCGTCCGGCCGTTAGCAGAGTCGGATGGAATTTGTGCAACAGCTCCGAGTCGGTCGGGGCGTGTTCAGAAACTTCTGAACTATCCTTACGGGCATAACGTTAACCCTAAGCTATCTTGTCCAATGACATGTGCAATCTCGCTCGCGGCCTGGGACCAGTTTCAGGCCGCAGGTACGGGATACGAGTTGCTATTTCGTATTGGCATCCCTGTTACTGTTGTACTGCACAGTAACTTGCTGTCCCGTGAAATACGAATGCGAATGCGAGAAGCGAACACGACGCCCATGAGGGGGGCGGTGACCTGATGATCGCGCAATGCCATGGCCCGTTAACAGATTATCAGATGCTCCATTTCACAGGCAGACATGATTCCAAGACAAACTCAGCCATCGTCGGACCACGAATTTCGACAAGACAGAACGGAAACGTATGTGAGTTGCGAAACCACAAGTCGGGGTACGGAGGAAATCAAGCTTGACATGCCCGGGGATCAGGGACTGTAAACTCCAGGCGCGGGTTTCAAGTGGTATGACCTTGGGAGTTTTAAGGGCTTGTAGGCTGCAAGCCGAGATCTATAGGCGGGGGATCGAGCCTGAAACGGTTGATTCCATGGATGTTCTAGGCGTCAATTTATCACCCAATATTTCTTGCCCAGCAGCAAGACGCTTTGGCCACTACCTAACGAAAAGTAAACATCCGCACTATCGTAATCGTATTCCTCCCCAAGCACTGGACACGTTGCGGTCGATGTGTGGCTTGCATAATTCCAAGGCTGACTTTTTTCCTCTGCTGTGAACACTTACCGTAAGTCGTCAGCGTACACGAGGGCTGGAACTCTATGTTTCCGGAAGGCGTTGCTCATTCTAGGCTTGCTTCGTACAATAATGACTTTGCAAACAATGAGCTGGGCTATTCATCTGTTGGTCGACCAGGACGATACTTGTGGTAATAATATGTATTGACAAAAAAACAGCGAGATGTTCGGATTACGAGAGCAAGCTGAAAAAAAAAACCACCTTTGTTGGCTGGCCAGAGGTCATCAAGCATTGGATTACCAAGATGGATTTCCAATGGTGGACAACGATAGAATGGCAAGGAGTCACATATGCTGTCAGTACTGCAACTGACAAACCACACGACTTTGTAGTAGTAGCTTAAAATGCAGTGTGGGGGTCACTATTGGAATGTATTTGGCAGCCGAAATGTTTGAATTTCTCAGCAATAATAATGATTCAGCCCTGCGAGCAGTAGTGGCAGTAATCTTTCCCCCCCTAGACCTGTCTATTGACAATCAACAATATTGCTGCACATGTCTGCTGGAGTAGATACTGACTCCATAATGGACATGCAGACAGCGCCAGAGAGTCATCACTTTCCTTGTATAGACGGGGTGACGGACTAACCATAACCCCATGGAAATAACGAGAGAGAAAAGTAAAAAATCTAGGCTTTTGAATTCGAAGTAACCAATGATTAGATTAGAAAGCCATGATGCCGTAAGAGTAAGATCAGCTTTGTGGTGGAATTCGTATTTGTGGACAAAGGACCAAGGACGAGCGAGGGAGGCAGAGAGGACAGGCTTACCTCTTCTCGGATGTAAACGCGAGCCGTGGCCGGGGCAGTGTTTCTGTACTGTACGAGGACAGTGCGAGGGATGGACGAAAACCCTCCGAGGACGAGTTTACCAGCAACGAGAAAAAAAGAGTCACAGCAACGGACGCTTCAGGCAGCCGAACGCACGAAACGGCCGAGATGGGCAGGCGTCCCGCCCGGGGATTAGTCTTTGGGAGCGTCATCCCAAGCTGCAAGGATTTCTCAGCCTTTGCTGAGCGAAGAGGGTCATCGAACACGGATAGATGGTAACACCGCCGCACACCCAAGTACGACCGTGGCGGCTTCGGGTTTACGAGGACAATCCACAATCCGAGCAGGGGGGGTCGGTGCATGACAGGGGTGTCCGCGCGAAAGTGAGAGTGGGTACTCGGCCTTTACGCTTCTTACTCAGGCACCTTTCAATCCATCCATGTCAACTAAACGTTAGGACCATCTTACACTCCAGCCCGTGCGTTTACAAAAGAACTCGTCCACCCTCATTCGGAATCACAGCTTCCTCTCTCCCTCCACACAATATACACACACAAGATATAAAACAACCATCAAGTATAGGAAGAAACAACTGAACAAGTCTCCTAGACAAATGTGCTGATAGCCTTCCACCAACAAGACAACCTCCATAGTATCTCGCCGTACCCACCCAACCAAGGCAAACCAGAGCAAGTGACTCAGAAATACCCAACCAAAAATGCCTTCCCTCACTTTCGCCGACGCTGCTTCAGCGAAACCAAACTCCATCTACACACGACCACAGAAGAAGCAGAAGATGAGCATTACTCAGACCTACTTCCTCGCCCACAGTGCCCGCGGCAAGCTCTCTCGCGAGGCTGCCCGGCCTGATCACGACCTCCGCCTCTTGGTCGGACACGCCAACATGCTCGACTCTCTGATGCTCGACCTCGCCAACGCCGAGCAGGAGCAAGAGCGGTGGTTCAACAACATCGTCAACGGTTCATCATCGACGGAAGAGGAGGAGACGCCAAAGCACGTCGACACTATCCCCGAAGAAGTTGAGGAGGAGGAGTCAGAGGACGAGGCTGAAATCACAGCCGTGGAAGTCGACTCAGACATGGAAGACGACGAGGAGGATCTCACGCTCACTCGCACCGCCTCTCGACACTCACCACCAGAACTCAGCCTCGACACGGACTCGTCTTCGGATTCAGATGAGGATGAACACATGCCACCCTCACCACCCACGCCAATGGTCGAGGCCCTGAGCGAGAAGCAAAGACAAGCCATCGCCACGACATCATACTACGACGCCAAGGAGGCGTCTTCGTTATCACCCACAGAGTCGCAAGCCTTTGAACAAGAAGGCTTCTACCTACCATCGAGGCAACAGCCGACGATAATCGCTGCCTACTAGAGCAGGTTCGCTGACCGCCCTCGATTACTCCTCCCGACTTTAGCGAGTGTGATACCCAAGCGTTTCAACATTTGGTTTGTCTTTTTTGGCCTGGGAAAATGAGCATGGTGTTTCTTCTGGATGAATTGTGTTGTTCAACAACAACAAAACAAAAAAAGAGTTTTGGGTATGGGACTCCCCAAAACAAAGGAATCGAGCAAGATGAGCCAAAATCTTCGGGAAACATCATCATCAACATCACAACATCGGAGACATTCGATCTCTCAACTGCCCCCGCCTCAGTAGTCGTGGATGAAATATACCAGCCTGAGGAAGCAGTTTGAGTTTGGAGATGGTCTCTTGACGATTGATTTGATTGATGAAGATGTTTTATTTCGAGGACGGAACATTTTGTGCTGTCTTGGACTACGATTCTCTATGACTCTACTCTTTGTCACATTAGTTCTCCCTCCATAAGAGGTTGAGGATACTCTTGAAAATTGATAACTATTTGATCCCATACAAACTTCTCTCTGTTTTCTCTCCTGTGCAGTACATTTTGTTGTTGATTTTTCCTTTCATTTCTCGCTTGTTGCTTTGCTTGCTCTCGTCTATGGAATGTCCCAAATTTCACAAATCCCCTTCCATCTCCACCCTGCAATTGGGTAGTACGTACGGATACGGAGTACATCCTGACGAGGGAAAAAAATTAAAGTGGTGCTTGAAAGAACCCTTTGGAACTCGGAATCGGCCTTACGCTGGTGCGAGAGATCTCTGGCTGGGCCCTAGTTTTGTTCTTATTTTTTTGGGTGCTGGCGCACCAACCACAAGGCACGGATGGTGCCCTGGTGACCACTGGATGACCAGAGCGCGCCCGCGAAACCCGGCTCTACGGATATGGAATTTGAGAATCGGGCCTTACGGACGAAAAATGCTCCGCTTATTATTTAGGCATTACAGTTTATTTACTTTTGTGCACAAATAATCATGCCTGCTAGTGCCACTAGTCCCGTCACGGTACTGGGCCTTACCTGACCTCCCACGGAACATCCGCTTAGCTCATCGCGTCTTTTCGGGCCCGGGGCGTAAGATTTCCCTCCGAACACCCCTTCACAGTACGGTACAGTCGTACACTTCACTATACCCAGGCTGTATGTATGTACAAGAACGATTGTCGGAAACTCCGTGGACCCGACTTTTCCTCACCTTCCTCGCGCTGTAGTAACTGTACGGACACGGAGTATGGAGCAATGAAGTTTTTCTTACCCTCTTTGATGGAGTACACGATAATTTATTGTCCCTGCGGGCGGCGGCAACAAGGTCACTTGGACAACATCTACAGTAGGAGATCCACCATGTTCACAATCTGCTTGCACCGAGATGAGCCTTTTTTTTTCAAGAAAGGGAGTGAGTCACATGGATAGTTACGCCTTCCAAAACTCCCCGTAAAGTGCTCCGGTGTCAAGAATGTCAATGGCCAATACTTTGATCCCCGAAGACGGTGAGGGCAGGACAATTTGCGTTTTGCAAGCTGCGTTTGTAAGGAAATGGTGGAATCATGGGGGGTTTCCAACAGAGTATCCCGGCCAATTAATTCACGAAGAACGATTGTGATGAATTGGGATTATGGATTACTATCTTGACCGTGGCTTTGGTTCTTGAGGTGATGCACAGTAGACACGAGGCTGATTACTACCTAGGTACTCCGTATTCCTAATGGTACGATAAAGGCCTTGGCGAAACTGGCTTACGGATTATTCGTATGGAGTATTTCTTCCAAACGGAATTTGATGTTCACCTTAGTGTAAGGTTGATTTCCAATCCTGCTTGGAAATTACTGCACTTGAACAAATTTCGTCTACCATACTAATGGATTCTTGCCATCATTCCCTCAATTACCAACCGACAGATAGGACAGCCTGGCACACCCACACCAACAGTACGGGGTTGACTCGTTTGGCCCATCCCATGCGATTCTTACTTGAACAGCACATACATTAGTTTTCCGGGGGGCGGTCAGCGAGGCATTCATCGCAGAGCACAACACTGTGATGAACTTTCCTCCGCCTCGTATTCATTCATGTTCATGACTTACTGCAGGAGTATCACCAACCCCAAATCTCGCCCTTCCTATCTTGGGGGTCAGAAATGTTCAGGCCTCCTCGTGGGCAGCTGATCAGGCGTGACCCCTTTTTTTTGCCTTGTTGTGCTGATGCTCTCCCTTCCCATCCCTTTCGTCTGGTGTGTGTGTGTGTGGGCTCTGATTCCAGACAATTACATGGGGTCCAAAACAATCATTTCAATCGTTCGTTTGATCAACCCCCTTCTCCTCGTTTCACCTTCGCAAGACGAGGATCTCAACCTGATCCTTTCACACCCTCCTATTTTTCAATGTCTGGAACAGTGGATCTTTGGTGGGATGAACGATCATTACTGTACAGAGTACTGCCTGCGATCACTTATTGTGTAGGTCATCACGGTCTCTCCTGTGTACTGTACGGAGTTCAACTTGTCAAATCAAGGAGCCTCTTCCCCCCTTAATAATCGTAGGCGAAACTATGGGCGCCAGCCAAGTCTACACTAGATCTTCCCTTACTGTGTAGCGAGTTGCTTGTACCTACCGAGTTAGCGCTGCGCCCCCCCTTTAACAAGTATCAATGGTCAAGATCTACCTTGCATGCTGGTTACAACGGATAAGGCCTAGTGACATCTCTAGCTTACTCATACACACACCCTTACGAGTCACTCGTCCGTAAATTCCTCGCCAACATCGTTTCTCGTTCATCGTTCATCGTTCGATCGTTTTTGACAGAACTCTTACAGTACGAGTTACGAAACCAAGGTGTGGAAATGGATCGCGAAGGCGTCGATTGATCATGTTTTTGCCTGAACCTCTCGGGTGTGTATGTCACCCGGTCAAGATAGAGGACGCCATCGGTCGACGGTATGAACGAGTGTCCGAGTTCACGTGGACTATGCTTGTGCTGTACGAAGTAGTGGTTTGTTGTACGAAGTTCCGATCTTACGAGATCCAAGTCCAGTCTTCCGGCACAACCCGAATCATTACTGAGACACCCTGAAACTCCCCGGCTTTTCTTCTCGTAGCAAAAGAAAAACCCTCCGAGGTTCATTCGTGCTACTCGAGTTGTCGGTTCTGCTTCCAAGCAATACGAGGGTTATGTTACCAGTCAGTTCCACAGACGTGGACCGCCTCATTGGAATTATCGATCCCGGTTTTTGTTAAGAAAAAAATACCTCGTCCGTTACTCATAATTCACCACAGCAACAATGTCGCCGCTTGACACATGCACGCCCGAACCTCCGCCTATCTAGGCTTCGCTTCAGTCGCTCAAAAGATCCTCGGATTTAACGAGAGACTTTTGGGCTCCTTTGTGGTTGAAGATCAATAAAGTCAAATGCCTCTTCTATGATGTCTACGATGTCGTCATGAAGATGTACTCGAATATGAGTGAGTAATGTTAAGAGTTTGGGCTTGGGCACCTGCACACTTCACCATTTAAGCATCCACATCAAGAGAAGCATCCTCACGCATACGCGTCCTTGGGTGATGTTGGTTCTGGTAAATTGATTTGACAGTCGAGCGGTAACACAGGCGCAGGAGTGAAATCATGTGAACTCAACCCAGAATTACCCAATGACTGGTAGATACTCAGAGTCCTCACCCTTGTACTCTTCCCGAAACGTCTTCTGCAGAACTCGCAGAACCACAAAATGTACAACATAAACTTTGCTTACTGAGCAAGCCGTCATCTACCATGCCCAAGCATGCTTTTGTCCAAAGGGATAACATAGGCGAGTTTTGAGTGAATGAGATCTCTGAAAGTCTCCTGCATGACACCTTTTCCACAACTGGAAAGCGCCCCAGTGGAATACTTGTTTAAAATATCGGCTAAGCAAGTCGCCGTCTTCGAAGCTCACCCTGTGCGATTGGTTCCTGTGTCGCTGGTAAGTGCATTTGCAGCTTCGACGTCAAGCCATCATCCTTGATGCCGAAGCTCACTTGGGTTTGCGCCGCATTGCAACGAGGAGGGACGGTTTCAATCCTGCAGACACTAGGACCAGGCTGTATCACCAAAGCCTCTGGTGAATGACACCCAAGAAGTTCTCTGCTGCAAGCTACGGGTCACAGACCTTTTCCCTGCCTGGATCGGAAAGTGGAACGCCATGCTCCGCATGAGAGTCTCTGATGCTTTCCCGTCGATCACAATGCACCTCTCCCGTCGTGTTCCATGTCTAACGACGAAAGGAGAAGGCTGCAGCCGTCTCGGCCATTGTGTTTACAACGTAATCAACGCGGTGCTGTGTAACAAAACATCTGGCATCGCATGCAAGGTCGCATTGTGCATCACCCCCACGAAATCCCCGTGGCCTTTCGTGTGACTACTGTGGTGGCCCATGGTTACAACCACGGTCTCCTCGGCGACTTCGTGAATACCTCTTGAAACTGAATCAGGGAAAAGCTCAACCACCGAGATATCCAGCCGGGAAGTTTGGAGCTTCGATTATGCAAGAGAAGAAACCAACAAAGCTGTAGAATTCCGATTTCAAGACAGTATCTACCGCATCAGGCTCGAGCAAAAATAATGAAGCATGCGGATGGCCAATACGATGACTCGCCCAGCAAGTGGTGTCTGCCTGCGAGGTTGATATTCGCTGGGATAAGAAACGCTCTTCGAATTGCTCACCAAACCCCTACAGAAACCACCAGTGAAAACGTTGTGCAATTTGGTTCTCACGACTTGCTGCTACGCCTAGCTGAGTCGGCTGCTCCTCTCCAAGTCTTTCGATCGCTGCTTGTTACTGTCCATGCTTCTTCTTGTCGGCCTCCATCCCTTGTACGATCCACTTGCTCGCCATCTGGGCATACTCCTCGAGCGCCTTCTTATCCTTCATTCTCTCCTTGATGTTCAAAGGCTTGGGCACGTCGCAACCTTTCTTGACACCGGGTCTCTGGCTCATCATCTCCTCCCACTTCTTCAGCGTTGGGAACTCGTCGATGTCCACGCCGGCCCAAGCGGCCCAGATGACCCATCCGATCGTGGTGATGTCCGCGATCGAGATGTGATCGCCCACGATGAACCCGGACTTTGAGGACTGCAGATGCTTGTCCAGCACGCCGTACAGTCGCCTCGTCTCGTTGACATATCTGGTCATGCCGTACTCGATCTTCTGCGGCGCATAGCGTACAAAGTGGTTCGCTTGACCCTGCATCGGGCCCAGGCCGGCGTTCTGCCAGAACAGCCAATTGTTCATCTCGTACTGCTCGCGGCTACCCTTGGGGAAACTGATCTTGTGCTCGGTATCATACTGCTCGGCCAGGTAGGTGAGGATGCTACCCCCTTCGAACAGGCGAATCTTTTGGCCATCGGTGAATGTATCCGTCAGTGCGGTGATCCGGCCGTTGGGGTTGATTTCGAGAAACCAGGGCTCCTTTTGTCGGTTGGTCGAGATGTTGATGTGTTCGGTCTTGTAAGGGATGCCGAGCTCCTCGAGGGCGATGGAGATCTTGATCCCGTTGGGTGTGGAGTCGGTGTACAGTGTTATATCGGGGCGCGACATGGTGTCGGTGTCGATCCTTCTGTGTTGCGGATCGGGGTTGAGATGGTGAACGTGTTGATGAAGACGAGCACCGGATGTGCTGCTACTTGTACTCGTACCTTGTTGGATGGGTTCGCTCATGTGAGGTAATTAGTTCTTCTTCGCTTATGGGTTTTTGTGTGGTTGTGGGATGCGGAAGTCGTGAAGCCCCCGAAGCCCCCGGGAGAGTAGTCGTTATTAATAATGAAATCAGTATTGATGTCTTGAGTAATCAAGATTGTCGTACTCGGTTCTTGTCCTTTGTATGGAGACGATGAGGAACATAAAGTGGGGGAATTCGCTCATCCTCATGTACGAACGAGTACACTAGGACAGTTCACCGAGCCATCTTTCCCTACCAGTCAGTTCGTCGTTTACATTCAAACGTATCTTTCATGGGACGAATCTTCTTGGAAGATCAAAGATCCCACGGACACAAATACATCTCGAGTAAACTCCGCGATATCCAGATACCTACCGTATGGACCTCGCTATTCAAGATACCGACCTTCGCATCAATAGTTTATCCGGACTCCGAGCTCAATGAGACTGACTCCCCTCAGTCACAAAGATCTTTGCTGGCTGAGCAAAACGCTCTTGAATCGCTCAAAGAGGAAAGTCATATTACCGTATCTGGTAAAATTCTTCATCCTCAAAGCATTTGCTGCCGTTTCCCCGCATTCAAAGTCTTTCCTTACCCACCGCCTTTCTACATCCTTGGACTACGTCAGAATCGAAGTCAATCGCAGTTTTCTGTTCTCAATTCTCGTGGTGGCGATCTCAAGAGGTTCAAAATCTGTCCGGAAATGTCATAGGAATCGCATGCGAATGTCTTTTGAAGACCTTCACGGAATGGCCCTCGACGTCCCCCTCCATAAGCCGCTCTTTTCCAGGTTGTGAAATTGACGTTGTGCTCGTGATTGCTATCCGAGACCCCGAGGTCATCCACTGATCCAAATCGTAGCTCTAAGTCATGGCTACCCAGACAGACATCATCACGCGCACTCCGGACCAGACTGCTCCGTCACTGCGCCGTCGGTCCTCCTCACATTCGACTCATCAGTCGAAACCATGGGAGCATACCGGCCACCGCATGTCACTCCACTCGAATCACTCTTCTCGGCCAGAGCCAGAGGAAGTGCGACGCCTTTCTGAGCGCGTCTCGCGCCAAACGACGAGGTCATCATATCGACGAACTTCGAAGTGGTACAGAATACGCTGGTTCAGAGGTATGATCAGTGATGTCAAGAGGAGGGCACCATTCTACTGGAGTGACTGGAAAGATGCTTGGGACTATAGAGTCGTACCGGCGACAGTATATATGTATTTCGCGAAGTGAGTTTTGTATACAGATGCCACAATGGAAGCATTCTTTGCATGCGGATATTTCCCCCCAGGAGACATTATGTGTTTTGCGAGGAGCACCAACTGATGTCTTTTTCCGCAGCATCCTACCAGCATTGGCCTTTTCCCTAGACATGTTCACCAAAACCCACAATTCGTATGGTGTCAACGAAGTCCTACTCTCCTCGGTCATGGCATGTGTCATATTTTCCCTGTTCGCTGCGCAGCCGCTCGTCATTGTGGGAGTTACAGGTCCCATCACGGTGTTCTCGTACACGGTCTACGACATTGTCGTCCCCAATGGGACGAATTATTTTGCATTCATGGCCTGGATCGGTATATGGTCGCTTCTCATGCATTGGCTGCTCGCAATCACCAACAGCTGCAATGCATTGACCTACGTAACCCGCTTCAGCTGCGACACCTTTGGCTTTTACGTTGCCTTCATCTATCTCCAGAAGGGGATCCAGGTTCTCACGAGACAATGGGGCCTAGCCGGTGGAGAGAGCGCATATCTATCCGTCATGGTCAGTTTGCTCGTCCTGGGCTTCGCCTATGGTTGTGGGGTGCTCGGCAACAGCAATTTGCTGCATCATATCCCTCGAAAGTTCATTGAAGATTACGGGACGCCTTTGACTATCATTTTCTTCACCGGATTCGTCCATATCGGACATATGAAGGACGTTACTGTGGAGACACTACCTACCAGCAAATCATTCTTTCCCACGGCAGATCGCGGCTGGTTCGTACATTTCTGGGATATCAGCGTTGGAGAAGTGTTTTTGGCTATCCCGTTTGCAATCCTTCTGACAATCTTGTTCTGGTTCGATCACAACGGTAAGAACTACTAAATTCTCCATTTTGGCTTTCTTGCTGATCACCCGCCTTAGTGTCGTCTCTCATTGCTCAAGGCAGCGAGTTTCCCTTGCGCAAGCCACCTGGATTCCACTGGGACATCTTCCTGTTAGGCCTCACTACTGGCATTGCCGGCCTACTCGGTATTCCGTTCCCCAATGGCCTAATTCCACAAGCTCCTTTCCACACCACTGCGCTCTGCGCGACACGACAAGTCGTGGATGAAAAGGCTCGAGGCCACACTGTTCGTGTTGTTGACCATGTCGTTGAACAGCGCGTCAGCAACCTGGCCCAAGGTCTCCTGTTCCTGGTCACCATGTCCGGTCCACTTTTGATAGTACTTCACCTCATTCCTCAAGGTGTACTGGCGGGTTTGTTCTTCGTCATGGGCGTCCAAGCACTCGAAGGGAACGGCATCACACAAAAGCTGCTCTACCTTGCTCGTGATAAAAATCTGACTGACGCCACCGATCCTCTGGCCCGAATTGATCGACAACGAGCAATTTGGATTTTCGTGGTGATAGAGTTGATTGGATTTGGCGCAACATTTGCTATCTCCCAGACAATTGCCGCCATTGGGTTCCCAGTGTTCCTGATCCTGCTAATTGTTGCACGCTCCTGGCTGATGCCGAAATGGTTCCGAGAAGACGAGCTTCGCGCGCTCGATGCTCCAACAGCAGGACCCTTCGTCATGGAAAGTGTGGGTGGAGCGTATGGTGAGAGTGAGGCAAGTACTCCTGACGCTCACACTCCAGAGAACGAGGTCGCCGTCGTCGATGACACCCTGGAGAGAGGAGAAAGCTACGAGTTGGAGACGTCTTTAGCGAACCGGAAAGCTGCCGAGGATTGTTCTGTCTTGCGAGGCGAAGGCTCCGCGAGACGAAGGCCGAGCCACAGTGAGTTGCAGAGACCGGCAGGTAGAGTGAGAAGGAGAAGCAGAAGTTCATTAAACACTTGAAGTGGATAGACTGTTGGATTTGTCCGAGATACAAACACAAGCATACAAATAGAAGCTCCACGGAATCACCTGCTGGAGGAGCTGGTACATGGTAAGAAGGACCAGGATATACAGAAGACATACATCTCGAAGATCTGTGGCGAAAGAGAAAAGGTACAAGAGAGACACCATATGGTGTTGTAGTCAAATGCTGGACATCATAGTCATAGCTAACAAAACCGGAGACATAGACCCTCAGTGCTTCAGGATTGATATATTACAAACGAAGATGTTGTGCTTTTAACTTGACAATCGTTCGGCGGCCTGAGTTTGACTGCGGAATATACGTCCCAAATACAAATGTTGCACGGTCGTGACGATAACACTGTAAGGATCTGATTTTCTCTCAGTGGTTTGTCAAAGACTGCTTCTGATTTCCTCCACTACAAACGGCGCATCTGTCAAACAGAGTGTATCACTGTGGCGCTTCTCAGGTATAAAGTAGTCGAATATCGGATAATTAGTCGAACTCCCACGGCAGACCACGGAGTACCTTTGCCCGGATCGACCAGGACACCGTACATACCCCAAGCAGAGTCTTTTCTTCAAGTGAGTGGTCGTTGCCAAGAGAGTTTCGTACGCCCGGTCGACATCATTGTTACTGTGCAGATATCTATCATATCCGGAAGTGTCCTCCTCCCAGACATGACGAGGCTCTCGGGGAGGCCAGTAGTCATAGACAGGTTGATGCTGGACACGTGGCAAGCGATGCTCTTTGACGCGGCCACCAATTCAAGGTACAAAGACGGGGCGTTTGAGGATCTCCTCCAGAGGGACACCCCGGCACTTCAGGCGGTGGACACCTACCTCGATTCCACGCTCCTGACGAAACGCGAGAGGGCAATCTTCGAACAGATCCGTGTGCTGATCGGCGACGTGGCGACGGAGCAGTCCGAGGACACTCATACGGTGTTGAGGCAAAAGTTTGTCAAAATGGTGTCGGAGGATACGAACTTACAGATGTCGGATCAACATCCGAAACGATCGGACGCCGTCATCGACAGTGTGCACTGGACGTTTGACGGACAGAGATAACGAGGAAGGCTAGTCAGCCTCGAGGATACTTGCTTGGTACGAGTAGACAAGACGAACTTTTCCCACCCTTGCACTCATGTGTCAACGTGATCCGCCGTAGTTTACTGTTGGAGGCTCAGGCCACTTTACCGTAGTCTTGGCCAAAGCCCAGTTTCCAATCCTTGTCCGGCGTTTACGAGAAGGACGAGAGAAGGCGAAAATCTCCCCCGCCGCCACTGCGTCAAGGAATTTTTGAAGATTTTAGGCCTGTGATCTCTGCCTATTGCAATTTCTCAACCACCCAATTCCTTTGTGTATCTCTGCGTCTTTTGCCTGGCATTCTACCCTGCTCGGCTCTTCATTGATTCTTCAGTAATCAATCTTCTCGCCTTTCGTTTGCGGGAATCTGACGACTTGGATCTTTTCCCCCCAAGGCACTGGGCTGCGATAGACGATAAGCCTTTGAGACCCCTCCACAAAAATTGTTTTTTCTTGATCTCCTCAGACCGCCCTCGTCTTTCGTCTTCAACAAAACCCCCTCCCCAACAAACACAAACACAAGTCCACCATGCCTGTCTCCGCTTCCAAGGCGGCCCGTATGGCCAAAAAGGCCGAAAAGGACGGCAAGAAGACGGCGGCCTCCAGACTCTCCTCGAAGGCAGGCTCTAAGAACGCCTCCGCCGCGGGGTCCAAAGCCTCCTCGGTCAACGGCGACGATGGACCCCCCATGCTCGACGAGGACGAACTCGACGCCCCTGCCACGAGCGCCGAGCAGATGAACAAGGTCAAGCAATTGACGGAACAGATGGACAAGCACGGCATCTCGGACAGAGTCACAACCGGTGTGTTGGCGTCCTTGGAATCCAGTCGGGACGTCAAAATCACCTCGGCCTCGTTGGTCTTCCACGGCAAGGTCCTGATCCAGGACTCGACCCTCGAAGTCAACTTCGGTCGAAGATACGGCCTGTTGGGCGAAAACGGTTGCGGCAAGTCGACGCTGCTCAAGGCGATCGACAAGCGAGAGTTCCCCTTCCCTGAACACGTCGACATCTACCTCCTGAACGAAGGTGCCCCCGCGACCGACATGGGTGCTCTGGAGTGGGTCGTCAAAGAGGCGGAGAAAGAAGTCAAGAGGTTGGACGATTTGGCCGAGGAGATTCTCGAGAAAGAGGGACCAGAGAGTCCCACGCTGATGGAGATCTACGAGCGCTCCGAGTCGATGGACCCCAACACTTTCGAAACCCGAGCATCCCTCATCCTCACTGGTCTAGGCTTCAACAAGAAGACCATCCACAAAAAGACCAAGGACATGTCCGGTGGTTGGCGAATGCGTGTCGCCCTGGGACGAGCACTCTTCGTCAAGCCTTCATTGCTTCTTCTCGACGACCCCACCGCCCATCTTGATCTCGAGGCCTGCGTCTGGCTCGAAGAGTACCTCAAGAAGTGGGAAAAGACTTTGATCCTGGTCTCTCACTCCATGGATTTCTTGAACGGTGTTTGCACAAACATGATCGATATGAGACAAAAGACGCTCATGTACTACGGTGGTAACTACGATTCTTACATCAAGACTCGATCGGAAAACGAGACCAATCAACAGAAGGCCTACCTCAAGCAGCAAGAAGAAATTGCCCACATCAAGAAATTTATCGCCTCCGCCGGTACTTACGCCAACTTGGTCCGACAAGCCAAGTCGAGACAAAAGATTTTGGACAAGATGGAGGCCGATGGTTTCATCCAACCCGTCGCACAAGACCGTGTCTTCAGTTTCCGATTCGCCGATGTCGAGAAATTGCCCCCTCCAGTGTTGTCTTTTGACGATGTCACGTTCAGCTACTCTGGCAAGTCCGAAGACAACCTTTACGAGCATCTTGATCTGGGTGTTGACATGGACAGCCGAACAGCCCTTGTCGGTCCGAATGGTGTTGGTAAATCCACCTTGCTGCGAATCATGACTGGCAAACTTTCTCCCACTGGCGGTTCGGTCAGCAGACATACTCACTTGAAACTTGGTCTGTACTCTCAACACTCTGCTGATCAGCTTGACTTGACAAAGTCTGCCCTCGATTTCGTGCGTGACAAGTATTCGAGTGTGTCCCAAGATTACCAATACTGGCGACAACAGTTGGGCCGATATGGTCTGTCTGGTGAATCTCAGACCGCCTTGATGGGTACATTGTCCGAAGGTCAACGATCTCGAGTTGTCTTTGCTCTTCTCGCCATTGAAGGACCCAACATGTTGCTATTGGACGAGCCCACCAACGGTCTCGATATTCCTACCATTGACTCGCTGGCTGATGCTATCAATGCATTCTCTGGTGGTGTCGTTGTGGTTTCTCACGATTTCAGGTATGTTTTTTGTCTCTCAAAGTGATAGCCAGGTGATCATTTGCTAATTAATGTTTCCAGATTGCTCGACAAGATTGCCAAAGATATCATGGTGTGCGAAAACAAGACTGTCCGACGATGGGACGGCAGTATCGGCGAATACAAGAACTATCTACGAAAGAAGATGGTTTCCATGGGTCAAGTTTAAGAGTCTTGACTTGTGGGTTTCGTTGCTTTGCTTCAGACATTGCTTTGCTGTTGCACACCACCTCTTCTTGCATGGCGATAGACTAAACATCTGGCTGGGAAGTCTGATGTTTTTGTGTTTTCTGATGAAATGAAATTGATGACGCTGCATTTCTCTTGTTGAGTTTATTGAGTTTTTATCAAACAAAAAGATAAACCATTGCGGCACTTGCAGGCGTTGGGAATTAGACGGTAAATACCTTTGTTGTTGAAGGGGGAATTCCGAATGGTGGAAAAAAAAGAAAGCACGCTGGATATTCCTGCTACATACCCATGATGGGGGCCCTTGCAACAGGTTGATGATTGACTTGGGGGGTTCGAATGACATATGACTGCTGGACTCAATGAGTTGAAATGGTCAAGAAGAACTTCATAGGTATCTCTACCAAGATTATTTGAACTGAAAATATCAACTTTTACCAATTGCTTGCCTCGGGGACTTTTGTTGATAATATGCTGTCGGTATTCGGTGTTGGATACCGATCAACGCCGGTGAGAGAAAAGGAGTGTTACACATGTAGGTGGGTAGAGGAGGAGGAGGAGGAGGATGAGAGGGAGGATGAAAGGGGGTTGGAAGAAGAGTGTACGTATGTATGTCACCATTAACCCACAAAAGGTAAGACCAGTGACATACTCGGTACAGACCATGAACCACTCATTACGTCGCTTTCTCTCTCTCTCTCTCTCTCTCTCTCTCACACACACACACACACATGATAACATCTTTTAAAAGGCAAGTATCAGAGAGGGGAATCTTTTTCATCATTTTAATCGAAAGTGGGATACTCACTCGAAAAAGAAGTACCTTGTTGCGATTGTCCTTTGAATACGTCACAATAAGGTCCGTACCTCATTTTAACCCTGTTACGGAGTCCAGAACGAATCAATCTGTTACAGAAGACAGAACTTCCATTGAACCAGTATTGCAGCGGTACTGGACATTTACATTTAAAAAAAGGCATCCCTTATCGGTGATTGATTTGTTCTTCCCACCACCAAAAATCCTCCTCAATAGACATGTCGAGCAACAATAAAGAAAGTGATCAACGTCAACCTCGACCGGTTCATGTCACTTTATCAAAGGACGTCAAGACTGGTAAAGATGGACAGACTGAAGGGATGGAAAGACAGGTCAGTGCCATTTTTTTTATTTTAAACCGAGTCTAGCACAAAACTTATTGCCTTCTTTTTTTTTTTGTGTGTGTGTGTGTGGTTTGTTGTACAATTACCTGTATGGAGTATGTGATGTACCCTGTTCTCACACTCAGTGAGAGTATGTGGATACTACAACTGGAAAGGTAGGAATGTCAGGTTCCACATCAAAGTCCAGAGGTGTTGGTGATGTGTACTTCCTTCAATACTGTCGCTCGCCTCCTCTTATTCCTCCTTGTCCTTCTTCCTCCTGTTCTTTCTTCTCATCTTCTCCTCTTTTGGTTTTGTTTTTGTGCAATTCATCCACTCCTAACTAACCATTCAGTTTTTGTTCCTGTCGTCACTAACTGACACGTTTTGTTCGTGGTTCATCAGGCCGCCATAGTCAACTTGTCCCCTTCGATCTGTGGTACGTTGATGAGGGCGCACCCTCATTCTTCGTCGGCGGTTCATCACCACGGTGATCAAGACACCATAGTTTACGCGGTCAGTGGTCACGGGACCGTGGTCACCTCTTCGAATGACGTCGAGGGAGACCTCAGACAAGACCTCAACCCGGGAGATTGGGCCCTCATCCCGGCTTACAGGGAACATCAGGAAGTCAATGATGGTGACGAGGAGGTCGTCTGGGTGAGTTTGACTGTGTCTCTCGTTACCACCGCCACCACCACGACGCATCCGCCAAACTCCTCAACTGTCAACAATTTACTTTCTTTTCTTTCTTCTCTTCCAGGCCCACCAAAAAAATCACAGAGATGTATCTGATACTGACGTTTTGCCGGGTTTCGATGATGTCATCTAGGTGATCGTACGTGCTCCTTCAGGGGCACCAGTGGTTGAAAACCTAAGTGGTTGGGGAGAGAGTAGAAAAGGGACGCACCAATAAATAGGTGAGGAGGGGAGGGACTTGGAAAAAACACTTGCAAAGCCCCCTTGCGTGGTAAGTGAGGACCAGGGAATCGAAATTCAAACAGAGATATGTGGTATTACTGTACTTAACCTGGGTCCTGTATACATATAATCAGACGCAGAATGGTACAAACATCATACCTCTCAGTTGAGAAGACTAGGATACTTGTTGAAAATTGATGGGCATCGTTTGAATACACTTTCCTAGTCGTATTTACATCGGCTACACTCTGTACATCTATCGACCCCTATCCAGACCGACCCTTTTCGAAAAACTCTTTTGGTATTTTGCCTCGGTCGAAGGCTACTGACCATCTACTTCCTCATCCTCGTCGTCATCTTCACCTTGCTCTTCATCTTCATCATCCTCATCAAGACCCCCCTCCTCCTCTTCCTCTTCATCCCCATCAACGTCATCCCACGCATCTTCGCTAACCTGGACTTCCCCTTTGATATCCCACCTGTCCCCCTTGGCAGCCCGACTCACGTACTTGACAAACCTCAACGTTCCTTTGTCCCTGAGTACGACACTAAACCTGTTCCACGCCGGTGGACTCGTGAACAAGATCCCATCGTCCTCGTCGTTCTCGCCCATCGAAGAGGACTTGTAAACGGCCGGATCGGCCTTCTTGCCCACGTTGGGCAGTGACTTGGAGTGGACCGAGGCGTTGTCATCATCGTCCCCTGCCATGTAGACTTCCTCACCACCGTACTCGATCTCCGTCGGCAACGAAACCTGCACCTTCTCGGGCTCGACGACGGCTGTCGCTTTTCCTTTGCCCTTGTCGTGGCTCTCGTCCGTATCTTCCACGGCCGAGAAGCCGTTGTGCAACACCTTTTCGGCCATTTCGAACCCTTCCTCTGCTTTCTGGGCATCTCCATTGTTCTCACCGCCGTCGTCCGCATCCTCTTCGACCTTTTCCCACCCTCCACTCGGCGTCATCGAAATGGTAAATTCGAGTTGTGGCTGCTCTCCGTGGAACGGGTTCGCCAGCGCATAGTCCTTTCCACGCCGGAACCTCCTCGCAATCACGTTCTGTCTGACCAGACTCTTCGTCTTCAGTCCCGTGACCAACGCCAACCACTTTTTGAAGGCGTGTGAATGGAGCAGATCCGTCAGGACCCGAGAAACAGGCGTCTTGTCTCTGTGTAGCGCTTCGACGCCTTGCAGATATGCGAAGCGATGCTTGTGCGGGGGCCGGGCCACACTCCAGTTCGACGGATCAGATTTGGATTGTGACGTCTTTTCATCCGACGAACCCTCCTCGACGGCGCTTATGTACCCCTTCAACTCGTTTGCAAACTTTGGGTTGAAAAAGTGCTCGAGCTGCAGCACCGACACGTCGGCGAAGGAGGAACTGAAGTCGTCAATCATGTCCGGCGTCAGGTAATGCGGCGTGACGTAGTGCAGTAAGAAGGTCAGGTCCTGCTCAGTGAGCACCTCGTCATCGAGGTCTTCTCTGTCGCCCGGATCGACCTCCCTCCCCGAGGCGTGACTGTCCATGACCTGTCGCGGCTCGTCGAAGTGGCGAAACACCAACTGCGGCTCGTCAAACTCGTTGGCCGCACCTTTGAGTTGCGCGAGACTCGACCTTTGAGCCTGTGCCTGCTCGACGCCTTCTTCGAACCCGTCCTCCCCCTCCTGCGGGATGTGGAACCACCCGCTGATCGCCATGCGGATTCGACCTCCGTCGTCGGCCTCCTCGGTGTCGGGGCCGCGGGGGTACACCTCCTCGACGTCGTGGTAGCTCTCACCCGGTCGGACGGCGAAGAAACTCAACTGCCCGAATGACGGGGGGACGTTGAGACTGTGTTCGGCCAGAGGGACCTGGATGTCTTCGCCCGCGTTGTTCTTTTTGGTCTCCGTCGGGAACAGCCTCAGCCCCCCACCCCATCCCGCCTGCCACGGACGATCGGGGTCCGTCAGGTACAAAATGTAGCTCACCCTCCTGCTGCCTATCACGTCGTCGTGGCAGAGCAGGTAACTGCCCGGTGTGTACACGTTGACCGCCATGTCGGTCTTTTCCCCAGACACTTTCCCCGCGCCCGTGACCGTCGACACCCACTCTCGAAAGTCGGAACTGTACAAGGCATCGCGGAGACGTACGAGACTGGGTAGGTGTCTGAGGGACTCGGCGTCGAGGTTGGAAAGGTTGGCGAGGTCGCCCGACTGGTGGATGCGGTAGATGTCCGTCTCCTTGAGCGTGAAGTGGATGTATGAGATGATTTCGCTCCTGACGGACCGGAGGAGGGTATCTTGGATCAGCGAAGGTACGACGGCGTGGGGATACGGTCCTGAACTCGCGTAGTCCTTGCGGAAGGATTGCACCGTCTTCTCATTGAAGAGGTCGGAGCGGAATGCTGACTTGATTTCCGGGGTTTCATCGCCGGTGGTGTTGCGCTTTTTGGAGGGAGGAGATTCACTTTCTATTCCTTTGCGTTTCATTGTGAATGGTCTTGCGCCTGAGATCTTCTTCTTATGCTCATAGCACGAGGTTCAGAAAATTGTACAGAATCAATGGTGATGCGGAGAAAAATTTATATGCTGCGGAGATAATCAGGTCAACCAGTTCAAGCAGCTCACACCATGGTGTTTTTGTATCAGACCACTACCACTACCAAGTAAATACATAGTACACAGAAATCATAGCATATTGATCATTGGCCTACGTATAAATGGTATCTTTGCTTGTGGGGGTATTTTACTTTTAAAAAGATCGTACCGCTTAGCCATAACACACGTTTGAGAGGCTCCTCCATAGCGCCTTGCTAAACTCATGAATGCTCAACTTTTCATGATTGCATTTTCGTCGTTGAGAGAATAAATTGGAGAGAGTGCAACGGAAAATCACGGAAAATCATTCTTCATCCTCTTTCCCAGCTATTTGGTGCGGTGTTCTTTCTCTTTGCTGAACAGGCCAAATGAACTAGATAATTTGGTGCGTGGACTTGCTGTACCTCGCGAACTGCTTTCAGATATAGACATAGAACCTCGAGCAGGCGATTTCTTCTTGTCTTGTGCGGGGGGGTGGAGATGTCGCGAACTCGAAGACGAGGTCTTCAATGCTGCTTGGTTGCTGACTTTTCCATTCCGGGGAGATGAATAGTTCGTCGAAGATTGCTGATCGTTTTCGTTCTTGTTCGGGAAAACCAATGCTTCTGCTTCACCGGCCAGGAAACCTGGGCCAATTGAGTCGCGGTTACTTTTGAAAGCAGCATGTGAGCCTAGAACTCCAGGCCCGGAAGATGCTAGGTTGACTTCGTCGTCATCCTCGCAATCGTCCTCCGTGCACGATTGGAGAATTTGGTGTAATGAGACTGGTGCTGCTGAGCTTACCTCTTGATCAACAGCGGCAGAGAGCGAATGCGGTACATCATCTTCAGAACCCATGCTAGCGGCATTTGACTCAAAAGACAAGGTTGTAGGACGAGACAAATCCGATCGTTGTTGCGACGCCAGATCCCCTGAGGAATTGACTGATGGTGCGTAGTAATGAGCTCGTGTTGAATTAGTACGAGAGCTGCTTGATCCACGGTCTTCATATCGGCCAAATGAGCCAGTGGTTGAGCTGGAGCTTCGGCTGTCGAGCCGCCTTCGGTCTCTGTCTCGACCTTCGCGACTGTGATAGCCGGAATCATAGAAGGGAAGGGAGTTTGCGCCAGCAAATTTGTCTTGCTCCTTCTCTCTAGCTTTTCTTTCTTTCTCTCTTTTCTTGACTCCGTCGGGAATGCCATCCCATTTTGAGTTGACTTTAGGTACATGCTTGGGCATCTGCTCCAGGCTCACATTGGGAACTTTTGTAGCGCTGGTCGAACCATGCTGTGCTTTTAGTTGTGCCTTAACCTGATCTAATGCTGCCTGTGACGGCTCCTTCTGGAACAGCCCACCGAATACCGAAGACTTCTTCTTTTGCTGTTGTTGCTGCACAGGCCGAGCTATGCTTGAAGGTTGGCTATCCTTCTCCTGCTGGACCTGTTTGGCATGCTGCTCCAGAATTTTATTCTGGGCCTGTTCTCGGAGTTGTCGAATAGTCAGTCGAGGTTGGCACTGCTGGTGTTCTTCAGAGCTTCCTCTATCTCCACCAAGCTCTGCATTTGAATCCTTCGTCAGTTTCTGTGTAGGCAGACTGCAACTATCTGTCTCTGGAAGGCTTGGTAGATTCTCATGGCCTTCTGATATGCTTGCATTGGTGTAGGACAATTTTGAAAATGTCTGCGATTGACTAGATGACATGCGAGCTGATGTGGTGGTGGTCATCGCGCTATGAAGGAGCGCTTGGAGAGAGGAAAGGCGGCATACATTTGCTGGTGCAGCGTTGCAAGAGAAAAGCTTCAAAAAGATTCTCGTGCGGTGGAACGGTCGTACAATTGACTTACAGAGGAAGTAAACAGGGATACCTTCCTTTATGTTGCCTGGAGAGTTGTCAAGATGGTGTGGCAAGAGCGTTGAGTGGACAAGGGACGATGAAGAGGGGCTCTTTCTCGGCTATCTGGCATGTGGAGAGCAGGTGGAACTCGGAGGAGACGTCCAGAAAATGGGCGAAGCAAAAGACGGCAGCAAGTTGTGTTGAGAAGACGACTAGAGGGGCGAATACCACCTAGTGCGGTTGATGTTCTCAATGTTTGAGATGGGCGGACGAGATCGACAGGAAGGCACAGTGGGTGAATGAGAGGGATCTTCTCCGCTGGGGCAGGATCGTCGATGGAAAAAACGTGTCTTGAGAATGTGACAGGTACACTACTTATCAAATAGGAACATGGGCGGCCTCTCCCGGGGCACGAATCATAGGTACAGTGTAGTAATTCGTACAATCACTCCGTCCTGGTAGCCGGTGAAGGGCTCATCACAAGACCCTGGGCGGAGTAGAGCAACCTTAGAGGGGCCTCTGACAGGCCCAGGGCACCCTTCGAGCTGCATGGCAGGACGCAAGCCAAAATCCACGAGGCAATGGAGACATGTTAAGAAGGAGGGACATCGTATTCATGGTGTCGTTTCGTACTCCCTAGCCGGTTGCTGGGATGTCTTCCGTCTGGATTGTACCAGATATAGACGAACAAACTGTGGGAGTCGCGTCGAAAAGTCTCATGGCTGCCGCTGAGATTGGTCGATGATGCATGGACTCACACGTAAAAAAAAATAGACTTACGTTACTCTGTAATGGTCGATCCAACGTGGCGCATCCTTGTGCCTCTCCAGGGTCTTGTTCGGCTCGTGCTTCTGTCACACTGACTCGTGGGCACGAGGCAAACAAAAACCTTTTTCTCCGGTACGAGTGTCTTGTTGCGTCCTGCAGAAAGCCGACCCAGGCGAGTAATGCAGGTCGTAGACCTCGGAATGGTACTGAGTGAAACTTCCACATGTAAGCCAAAGGCACCTCGGTCGTCCTTATTGCTGCCACATAATCCAATTGATACATCGGTGAGATTGTTTGTATCCCCACAGCTGGCACAGATGAGACGCCAAAGGGTCCATGCATGCGCCTCCCGCAAGGTATTGTGCTCGTGGCTTTTTGGTCCCCTTCGCACATGCCATTACGGGTGCCAGGTCTCTGTTGTTGGTTTGTTGTTGCTCCGGGGTAATGTTCAGGGAGACCGATGGCCCCATAGTAGACCGAGGTGACAAGCTACGTTGGCACAATGCCGACCGTAAGAGTTGACATTTCTTCCTTGTCGACTCATTCGTTTTGAGGCCTCGATTTTAACTCAGTGACATGGTTGTTGTTGCTGTTGTTGCTGTTGTTGGAGGGAGTGGTAACAATCGACCTCGACATGTCTTGCTAAGCAATCATCCACGGTGATCAATGGAAATGCACATGGAAAATGTTCTAAACGCAGAAGGCAAATCTGTATGAGCGACGGATAAGATGAGACGGACTGGTGAACCGTGCGTACCTTACCTAAGGACTAAGCTGTACGGGGATGAGGCTGTCGGTACTCAGGAAGCCCCTCATGCCTAGAGGTGTTTGAATTAGCGATCGAGACTGGCCAGCCAAACATGTAGGCACCGAGGGCTGCTAAACTCATGCCTGAGAAACCCCCATCAACATCATTTCCCGCCTTCCGAAGGGTCCCCGCAATCGAGTCTTCGCCCTCGGTGCTTTAGTCATGATTGGGGTCGTTTCTGTGTGGCTTGGACTACTCTGTACTCCGTATAGTGCTGCCTATTTGGCCTATTTGGCCTATTTGCCTCTTGTATCTTTTCTCGCGATTCCCACCAGGTACATCGGACGGACAGGCGTGCGCGAAACTTTGTCCGTAGAACCACCTCAACTCATTTTTTTCAGTGCGATCGTCTATTCTGTTTGTTTGTTGCTTGTGGGGGGCTACGACAAGTCATCCTTTCTGCGAGTGCAAAATCGGCTGGTCAAAGGACAACCACATCGTCCACGACATACATTTTCACGCCAATTGCACATTTCTAAGCATTCCGCCACTCGACTCTTCCTCAGGCCAGCACAATATCTCCTCGGCCAGTGTTGTCCATCTACTTTCGGACGAGAACTCGACGGTCTCTTTGGATGACAGAGGAGACTCCTGGCTACCCACATGCTGGCGTTCCGCGCCCGTCTGTACTGCTCAAACTGGTCATGCCTGACACTGAGCGGCAGCAAGACCAACACCAGCAACAACACCAGCAGCAGACATCCCAAACGGGCATCAGTCAATCTATCGAACATGACTCCAGCCATAGTCCAGAACGGCCGTCATATTCTCCTGTAACTCCGACTCTGTCGCATACCGACCTTCCAAATCCGAACGACACTTCCGATGACTTGCCACAATGGCTGGATGATGAGCCAGAGTCGCTCCCGGTGAACCTGGACGATAACCCCGACGCCATTGCTCTGAGGTCAGCATTATCCGTTTTACAAATTCAACGGCAGCGGGCGCTACAGGATATGCGCGACCTGGAGAAAATGAAGAATGCGGCCCTTGAGGATCCTGAGCAGTTTATCAAAGACCTCGGCCAAGGCAAGTTGGCACATTCGACTCAAGACGAAGTCGACATGGTTGGCTTTGACAATTCGACAGGGGAAACAGCAGAAGACACTTCAAAGTTCGGGAAATTACCTAATGCACAACAAGTGTTTCGGACTCCTCCTATTGAATGGGCAAAGTATCACATTGTTGGTGAACCATTAGATCGACTGCACGAGGTACAGCAGCATTATCCGGGCTATACCGAAGAGACGAACGGCACTGGCAATCGATCAACACCCCAGGTCATTGCGGCACCTTACCGACCGTTTGTAGACGAACTGGAACGTGGGGAAACACCGAAAAAGCCATGAAATGAAGCCCAAACCAAGTGAATATTGATCCACGCACTTTGCATGGAATGCCTGGACCGCGTCGGCGTCACGCATCTCTATGCCTTTTAATCCTGCGTTAATAACATAAGTTCATGCTTTCCCAGCTCGACCGCATCCCAATGGTCTGCGAGTATGATAGTGTCCGATCTCAAGCCTGGCCCTGGACGTCCGCGACACAATCGACTCCACGTATAGCTTCCTTTGACTTACTCCAAGCCAGTCTATTTCATGGTGATGTTCTTTACCATGCGCTTGAATTGAGCGAACTCGGCGCGGTGATTGGCGAGCTCCAGTTGATCTGCGCGTCTGCACAAAGGACAACGCGGACCACGGACCCTCGCTCGTTTGGTCGCTCCAGCATTCTCGACACTTGGGTCCTCACGATCTCCTCCCCATCCTCCTGCGTTGTCTGGATGAGTGGTGTCGATGAGCTGGTTGCATTTGTAGCACAGCCGGTATTTTCCTGCCGGTCTCATGAATCCCTGGTTGACGCGGACGAGCACTTGCAGACGATGGATATCGGTAACTCGCTGTGGGCGTGGAAGGTAGTACTGCTTTGTATCGATGCCGTTGACTTCCACTGTTACCATCTTGTCCTTGAGGTGCTCGTACGTCTGGGCGTTTGCTTTGCAGGTCAGCGCAAGTGCGGCTCGGTCGGCGTCCAACGGAAGAAGTTTGAAGATGGTATGAATCACTTCAATAGGCAACTTGGAGAGAAGGTTATTGGTCTGCCCGTTCGGCTCGTTGAGGTAGATCTGCAAACAAGATCATAGTGAGCAAAGGAAGGAGAAGAAAAGAAACTCATGTTTTTGGGGGTTCTGCAAAGTCCTCCCTCACCTTTTCAGGGATTTTGGTGATCTTGTACTTGAAGTAATGATGTCCATTCATCCGATCGACAATCTTCTTCTCTTTCAAGATGTTGGCCATGGCATTTCTGATGTTGTCGATGTGTCGCCGAAGTTCTCGTTCTGCCCTGGAGCGCCTGATGGAAGCAAGTTAGTTTCGATGAGAGATGAACTCAAATCCAGGGTGATATTTGTCAACTGACTGAGCTGGAGTGGTATGGGTTTGGTCAGACATTGCGAAATCGAGTCCGACAAAGCAATGCCGAGGGTACCCGTTGAATGATTTTAGTTGTGATCAAGGTCTGGATATCAAGGGGGACGATGGATGGTTTGACGACTCGAAAGTAAGAGTTGGAAGTTGAGAGTGAGTTGAAGAACAATCCACCTGACTAATGTCCCTGAGGTACGGCACCCGAGACGAAGCCTTCCACAGCCCAGCATCGACTCTATGTCGTCGACGACGAGAACTAGGTGAAAATATGTGAAGAGCGAAATGAGGGACATGTCAGCCAGGTCTTTATTCTCATCCAAAATTGATGTGAGAGAAAACGAGATGACATCGCTTTGGAGACGGCGGCGCTCTCAAAGGAAGGTCAATCCAAAACAATGAGAGGACAAGAGTCAAACTCAGGTAGAGCATATTACGGCCACGGCCGTGGTCATTCCAAGACCGCGGAACAAACTACGATCTAGATAAACATACTTTTTTTTCGATGGCTGGTGGTGATGAGAAACTACGAAGACAGATACGAAGATTTCATGTTCGGCATACAAAGGTCTATGTCAATAGTCGCCTTAGCTTTCTAACCGTAGGTGAAGCTGGTGTCCATGTCACGTGGTGTCTATACAAAACCCCTTTGGGTGGTGTTCCATGTTAGCGTCATGTTGATCATGGTGTCAGTGACGTCACACATGATATTTCCCCAAGCCAAAATGGTGAATGAGAAGCTGTGGATGCCATGACAGCATTGATCCCAAGCCCAAGGGCCAAAATGATAATTTGTGCGACGAAGGGGGGAGGGGGGCATAATGCTCTTCTATCTGTGACCTAGGCTATCTGCGAAGATAAATTAATTGGCCTCTCCGAATTTCCCATATCTTCCTCATACACCTACTTTACTTCGTGACCTCAGTACTGTGCTCATACTCCAGTTCCAGCAGTTTAGTCTTGCAGCACCGGAAAGAAACGGAGTGGCTCTTTGGTCCTTTTCTAGAAGACATTCGAAAGAGCTCGTCACTCGTGTCACAAATTTTAACGAGAGTTTCGCAGAGTTTGCAACGCTAGGAGCACTGTGCTCTCTCTACACCTCTCCCTCTCTACCTTTGATTCCGACAAAGCCTACCTGAAGAGTCACTATACCTCCTCTTCCACCATGTCCGCCCTCGACCCCAGCGCACCCTCACAACCCACCCAGCAGACGGGCCTCAACCAGGCGGGTAACCCGGCGTCCAAGACGACGGCCGAACAAGCCACCTCTCGCGCCGACACGTCCAACGGCAAGGACGCCCGGATCATCGACCACCGGGAGAGCCACGACGTCCCTTCGCAGCACAGCGGGGCCGCGCACCCAGGCGCTCGAGGATCCGGTGCCCGAGGGCCCCTGACCGAGAACCTCATCCCCGAATCCGACGCGCAGAATTATTCGCAAAACAGTGAACTGGAGGGCGAGCAGATGCGCATGGCGGGAGAAGGGGACGTCGCGAGGGCGGTGCGTCGGGGCGGCGGCGGTGGCCACGCCGGTGAAGAGAGCCTCACCGCCGACGTCGACAGAAAACAGGCCGAGCACGAGGCGGAACTGCACAAGCGAGGGGAGCGGACGGGCAAGGAGATCGAGGAGGAAGGGAACGAAGATTGGACGGGCAAAAAGGCGGACGTGGCGAGTGCGTTGGTTGGAGGGAGGGAACGCATCGACGAGGGCGAGAGGCCCAAGGTGGTGCTTGCCGCGGAGGAGTAGAGGTTGAATCGAGGCTACGCGGTGGTTGAAGGGACGAATTTTTTTTTGTAAGGCACAAAAGTCAGAAGAGGTCGTGACGAGCTGATTTGGTTCAGACCTCAGAAGAAATGGTTGTGCCATTTGCATTTCACATCCTGGTCAACCGTGGGCCTCCTTTGGCTACCGATTTGGTCACAACATTCGCGCGATCCAGCCGCGTGATTTATGATAACTGAACGTTCTTCCTCTATCAACGGCTCCGAATCGACCGTCGACCTCGACGATAGAAGCCCCTATGTATCATTACCCACAGAATCTGAGAACGTTCAATTAGTAGAAAGAGAGAGATGGGTAATCAAATACCCAGCAATGATTTCTGACGTGTACCTTTGAGGATTGTCACCTGTTTGGCTTTGTACCTCTTGGACCTGGCCCGGTAGTGCTTCCAAGCCAGTCCCCAACACTCTCTCAAAATAGCCGTCTGTGCGTCGTCTCCGACCATAAAACAAAGACGTTGTTGCAGTCGACGTCTTTGTATACCCGACTTAGGACGTTGGGCGTGGCAACAATGGATCGCCTGCCGTTCCGGGATAATCATGCCTCGAGAAACAAAGGATCATTATGTGTCACTTAGCAGTCCGTTAGCAATGATGGTGAGCAATGCTAGTTAGTTGACGGTGCTGGATTCGTTTGTCTTCTTATAATTTGCAATCTTTGCCTTGTTTGATGTTGCTGCTGCCATCCACGGTTGTCTCTTCAGGAATAGCTGGTTCGACTTCTACACATGCTTCGACGACCAATTGATGATCATGTGTTATTACCAAACTTACATTTTCCTCGGCTGCGGCCACGCGGTTTTCTCCAGCAAACCCATCGCAAACTCAGGGTGTCTTAATGGTGCCCATTCCATGATGCAGGGAGGGCCATCGTCATCACTCACGGAGATTTGCACAGAAAAGCTTAGTCACCCGCTTCGGACAATTGCCATCGACCGCCTCTGCGAGGTGTGCCGTTCTGAGCGAGACGCCCGGGTTGCATATTTCCAGCAACATGTGGGAGGGGACAGCGAAAGACGGATCATGACGAGGTCTGCTGGACGCAATGAGCGAGGCTCGGAACGGGGCCGTAGGCTCTTTCGAGCGACCACGGATCTGGCCATGATGCTAGAGTCAAGCAGAAACCAGTCCGTCGCCGGCACGAGCAACAGTGGCACGACGCTCGCGATATCGAGTCCGACACAACAAGCCTTGGGAAAATTTGCAGACGGATTCAGAGGTGTGTTGGAATGGAATGATGGAGGGTCTCGTCGCAGCGTTCCGAGTGAAGCTTCAGTGTCGAGTCCAGGACCGCAAGTTTCTCGGCCACAAGCCAGGTTGTCTTTTGCGGCTCTCGCAAACGACTTTGAAGCTTTAGGCGTCGACTGACGAAGGGCTAGATGGGGGCACAGAAGACTAGACTTTGATGATGAGATGAGATGTTCTTTTTCGATCATAGCGTCTTTGTTGTTTGCTGTTTGCGAACAGCTGCCAGCTTTGTCAGGGGGGACGGTGAAATACGCAATATAGTGCAAGATTGGAAAATGATATGACTGGATATGAACACAAGCAGGTAATTGAAGGCCACAAAATGGGTGATCAAATTCTTCAGCTCGTCTTCAGTAGGTAATCGCGTAGATGGATGGTGACCTTTCGATCTGGGAAGAGACGAGGCTGACCAATTTAACAGGCTAGTCCTAAATAGGACTTAGTGCAAAGCTCCGGAGCGCATCAATGAGAGAGCTTCAATATGTGCTGAGTACACGGCACAGCGACAAGAACAATCAACTCTCTGATTTCCATTCTCGTTTCGTTTCTTACTGGTGTGAATCTCGATAGACATCACATCGGGTGATCAAAATCACTGAAAGGGCACCTGCGCTGGGGTGTTCTTTCCTGAAGCAATTATCGAAAGCACCCTTTCCTCCTCGATTGCAACCAACCTCACGACCTTAAATACACCCACAATGTCTACTCCCGAATCACAAGCGTTTCTCGCAAAGAAACCTACAGTCGCTCCCACCTTCGATGGTGTAGACTTTGCCGACAATCAAGCCGTTGCGAATGCAAGAGATGCGATTGTGCGAGAACAATGGGTCGGGTTGATGATGCAGAGATTAGTTGGCGAAGAGATGGGTATGTCGATATTGCTTTGATCCAAGTTGCAAGGCACGAAAATTATGGCCGCGATATCGAGTGGCGACAAACACCACGGTTCTTTAGTGCCCTCGAGATTGCGTTGCTAGAAAGACTAGACAAATGGAGGCTGACAGACTGATGATGCAGGCAAATGCTACCTACGTGAAGGCGTCAACCACTTGGAAAAGTGCGGCAAATACAGAGGTACGAGATCAACACTGGCATTTGGTTGCTGTCAGATTCCAGAACTTAACAATCTACCTAGACCGATACATTCAACTCTTAAAATCCAACAACAATAAAGGTTACCGTGGACAACAGCAGAACTACATCCCCGGCGTCGATGGCCCTTCGGGAGGACCAGAAATTCACACAGACTACCCCAGTGTTCAACAAGCCAAGGGATCAAAGGGCTCCGATTACAGACCTGGAAACACAAGTGGACAAGGTGGAAGTACGCTGTACTAGAGCAAGAGTTCTCGGTAGGCGCCTCTGCAGAAAGAGAGGAATGTACATATCAATTGAAAGCCAATGAAAAAATTGTGTGACTATGAAAACGAAGCGGACACTATCCATTGTGCAATACAGCAGTCACTGCTCTTTTGGGGATTGATTCTGCGTCTAATGCGCTTTACAAGTGCTGAATCGATCCAGCCACGAAAATTGCTGACTTGGAACGGTGTACAGTTCAATTAATATGGCAGGTTATTCAAGGAACGAAACACTTTTGATTCAACTTTATGGACGATTGGAGAGTCCGGCTCGACACAGAGTTGTAGAGCCGGACAATCTCAACTACCGGCGGTATAGGTACTCAAAGTGACATCAAAGCGGGTTTTGCGTTTTGTCCATTTTGGATCACGATCCTCCCTTGTTTACAATCTTGAAAACTTCCCGCTCTTCTTGGCCGTGAAGGTGGCCAGGGCATCCATGAGAGGTGGGGAGAGCGCATCGTATGGCTCGAGCCCGACTGACTTCAGCTTGGAGCGCACCTCGTCCATCTTCTCCGGCGGGTAGCCTTGCTCGATCAAGCTGCTCACGAACTGCAAGGTGCATCAGAATTTCTGATCGGGCCAACAAGGCATTTGGAGTTACTTACAGCAGCGAACTGAGGCTCTTGCCAGCCCTTGTCATCGGACAGTTCGGTGTGCACGAACGACAGGCCCTTGAAGGCATGGTCCTTCTTGATGGGCCCGTACATGTGCACACCACAGTCCTTGCAGGCGTAGCGGAGGATGGTGGCATTCTCGTCGACGATGGCCAGCTTATTGCCGTTCTTGGTGACTTCGACCTGGTCATCTGGGATAACGGAGACGACGGAGAAGAGGGCACCAGCTGGCTTCCAGCATTGGGAGCAGCCGCAAGCATGTTGGTGCAAGACGTTGCCCTTCAACTCGACTTCGACGGGGTTACTCTTGCAGTGGCATTTGAGGGTGCCTCCGGAGAAGTTGGGGTCTCCTTTGGTGAGGCCGTTGTCGATGGAAGGGTGCAGAGTCGGAGCCATGTGGTTTGTTTGTTTGGTTTGGTTTGGTGGTTTTGGTGTATAGGGAAGGGTTTGTCAATAGTAGCAAAAGCAAAAGATGGGAAATACAAAAGCAAGACAAGGAAGAGGGAGCGAGGTAGGAAATATACTCTTGTACTCGAGAGATGACGAAGGACAAGAGGCGGGGAATGTCGGGCGCCTTTTTGAGGCCAAAAAATCCCAAACAATCGTTGATCCCTCGTGGGAGGAACTTGTTACCTTTGTTTGGCCCATGCCTCGTACGCTGGGTTACCCGTCGCGAGTCCCGCTGAGCATTGAGCATTGAGTTGTGTGTGTGTGAGCGTGAGAGCATAACGCGTGTGGGGTAAATCCCTGTCCGACGAGGTGGGTGACAGGGGTAACAGTATTTTTGTGAGCTGCGTTTCCGCAATCCATACCTTGCAAAAGAGGAGTCAAGAAGAGGAGAAACAACGGAGATTGGTTGAATGGTTCTGGCACCGATACGCGTTCTCCCTTCCACCCGCTGGCTAGGTACTCGTATGAGTTAGAGCTCTACGAGGACGAGTATTGTGTTGTACAGTATCCTACAAGTATAAGGGCGGGCCATATTGCGAGACCACCCCTCCGGCAATTGAAAAAGATCCGAACTACGAGCTTGGATAAAGGGGCAGTTACGGCCATGGAGTAAGGGCAGTCAGTCAGTCAGTGGGTGAGAATTGCCCCGAGGGTGGTGGTGCAGAGGAGGTGGTGGCGGGCAATAGAAAGATACTCGGCACCTCTTTCGTAATCGTCTGCTTCTCGTAAAATACCCCTGTTGGCTATTGTGCCTACCGACCTCCCTAGCCATGTTGAGTTTATTCCTCCGTCAAACTGTTGACGGTTCATCGATGGGTATCAATGTCCACGGATCCGGGATATTTACAACCGTACCCGAGAGAAGTTCTCACAGTACAGGTACAATGTTGATCCCTTACAGTCCATCAAGGTGAAGAAGTGATGGCCTTGGTTTGATCCCTCCGGAACCGAGATCGATATCTCCGTGTAAGAAGCTGGAGCATCCAGATAGATAGAATGCATTGTTCGGAACACTCGTAGAAACTATTATCCGGGTTGTGTATGGTTAAACTACCCCAGGTACGCTTCAGTTTCGACGGACATCAGAAGTTCCCGACGAGAAAAGCGCGGGTGCGAGTACAATACAAACACACAAACTTCCATTCTCCATCCTCCGTCCTGGGTGACTCGTAAAAACTCATTATGGGGGTCTGCCCATTTGGCTACAAGGACAATCCGTCGGTTAAGTGGAGAGAGAGGGAGTAAATTGATACGAGGAAGGGAAAACAAGGTCGGATGGGGAAACCCATCGCGAGAAAGTCCACCCTCGTCCAGAGGAGAGTCAACTCAGTGATTCTATCCGGCAGGACTGCTGCGACTCGTACTGTAACAGTAGTTTACGGAGTACGGAGTTGGGTCAATCTACTGTCCTAATCGATTGCGCCATCCGCTACAATCAGCTCTCTCTGTGTGTACTCTCTCTGTCTCGGTGGGACGAGGGGTATTTCCAGTTGCACCGTAAAAATACTTGCCCCGGCTGATGTACGGGAGTAGGTTAATAGTAATGCCGGTGGATATGGAGTACTGGAGCACGCCTTTGCCTGGGACCTTTTCATCATTCTCGTTATTGTCATTCACAAAGAAACTTTTTGGAATGCTTCCAGGGATAGTAGAATTTTTTCTTTTGAACGTACTATGTATTTAGAAGAGAAAAAAGAGAAGCGAAAAGATTACCAAGAGCCCCCAGCAAGATCACGCCAGATCAGCCTGTCCTCGTGGCTTTGGGTATTTTCAATTTGCCCTCGACGTACCTCGAAAAGCTAACCGCTCTTTGGTCAACATGGTACCAGAACAAATGGCCACATATCAGGACGAAAGGTAAACAGGCCAACCACCCCAAAATCACAATCTTGAAAATCTGCCACTCTGACAGCCCCCCTCCCTCGTGCCACATGTACGGGTTCGGAAGCGCGTCCACTCCCGCGCAAAACCGATAAATAAACGGGATCAAACTCAGGCCCAGGATACGAATCACGTCCAGGTGAGTGAGGTAGATTCCGAACGAGATCCGGCCAAGCCACTGGGCCAGTCGATTGGAGAAGATTGAGCCGATGAAGGTGTCGGCGGTGTTGGCCACCGACCAAGTGACCAAGATGGCCCCGAGGCACCTTGTCGCCTCGACGGGGTCGCTGTTGCCACACAGGGACGCCACGATCTTGCTGACCACGACCGAGTAGCCTGCTGAAGGTTGGGCGTCAGGTTTCAGCGATGCCACGTTGAGGTAGATGCCGAAAATGAAAATGGCTAGCCAGGCTGTCGTCGTGGCCGGTTTCGAGCGAAGGAAGAAGCATCGGGAACTCTGCCGCCCGCGAGACCGGCCGGCAGTTGTCCTTCGCATGAGCTCCTTCTCGAGCTCCATGTCCTCGTGACCCGCAGAAGACTCCAGGTCCATCGCTCCGAGGAGATGGTCAGTCGACGGTGAGTGCTCCGTGTCGCCAGACACCCTGGCGATAATGTCAACCTCCGCAAGGACCATGCCGGCAAAGAAGCAGAACAGGGCAATGCGATTGTTTGAGAACGTGTACAGGCACGCCAAGCAGTGAATGACCAGCCGAGCTCGGGTGCGGATGTGTGCGGTGCTGAGCAAGAGTATGAACAGCAACATGCTGCATTTGAACTCGATTGGGATCGTCCAGTGAACGTCGTCGTATTTCCGAACGTCAATATCTCGTTCCGTCCACGGTATCATCGAGCTGTCCACATATCCCCAGCATGTCGTCAATGCGGCACGCAGCTCCTTCCAGAACGAATCTTCCGGTCTCTTTGGTCCCATCCAAATGTCCAAATAATATCTTTTGATTTTGGTGTCCAAATATGTCTGAATCGACAGGCCGAAGATCGGGGTTCGTATTAGGAGGGCAGTGAAGATGGTGTCGACCATGGTAGGGAGGAAGAGTCGAATGCCACGTCGAAATGCCGACGAGGCGAGCGTCGAGTAGCATGCTGTAGCTACCGTGCCGCGGTTCTGGTGTATCTGAGTCAAGGGCTTGTACGAAAGTACATAACCTGAGATGACAAAGAAGACGTAGACCATGGACTTTCCAGCATACATCCAGGTCACCCAAGGTAGTTCCCACCACAGATTGACCGTGGATGCCATTCCTTCTGTGCGGTTGCCGTAGCCATTGTCGAACGCCCAGTGAAAATTGAACACGAGCAAGCAAGCAATACCCCGGAGGCCGTCTAGAGATGAGATGTGATTCTTCTTCATTCTCGCCACGTGCAAGTACTACCCCAACGACGCATGCGACAGAACGAGAGACTTCGAACGTGTAGAGCAGACAGACAGACAGACCTACCTTATGACTGAACACCATTTTGAGCCTCAGAGGTTAGGGGTGCTGTCAATCGTCCCCCATGCTGAACTGACGGCTGTCAGAAAAATCCAGGGGGTAGAAGCGAGACATTTTTGTATAGAAAGGGCGTTGATGACTGGTGTCAGGCCAAGAACTCTACCGAACATGAATCCATGCAGCAATCTGCAGATCGATCTCTGGCTTTTCATTTGTTTGGTAATGCTCCTTCCGACCTCTAGAGGAGATGTCATTTGGCTTGGGGATGGAGAGAGGGAGAGATGGACGTTGAATTCTAGCCGGCTTGGATGCCGTGCTGAGTCAGAAATGACCCAAGCTAGCTGACCATGCTAAGTATTTTGTACCCAAGATCATACTCCGTACATGACAGCATTACCATCGATGTGGGAGAATTGAGGCTTTTAGCTACCGTAGGTAAGGTACAATAGGTATGTAAACGGCGCCGGAAGCATTTTCGCTTACTGTACAGGGCACCTCGTGGCAGGCACAACAAAAACCAAAAGCAGCGATGTTTGGGTCTAAATATCTCGGTAATGTGACAACGCCGCCCTAAGTTCCATGAAGTGAGACAACTCTTTCCAGTCTCTCTTGCGAAGCGCCACGAGGAGTGCCTCATCTCATATCAGCATACACGTTTTCGACACACTCAAGCAGCTCTGCCCACATTCCATCAGATTTATGGTCGTAAGAGCTTTGATGGCTCCCTCTCACTCTGCACAGAAATGGCCTGAAGAACTGGAAAATGGACCTCATCCTATGGCGGTGCCTGAGGCTAAGTCCTTCGTGACCAGGTGGCTGATCACGAAGTCCACCCTGGCCTTTTGTCTACCAGAACTGGGTCAGTGATGGGGATAACCACCCACCTTCGCAAAGATCGCAATCACGCTCCCGGAGAATGCGTATCAAGTCCACCGCTCGTACACTAGCCGCTGTACTAAGTAAGCCGGGCCAGGAATCGCGCAGTTTCAGGTGGCCGACATTGTCCATTCAGATAGCAGGATCTGGGGTATCCCCGGTCCGACCACCAACCACCAACCACCACCTCGTCATTTCTGGCTATACTCGTGTCGCTTGAGGCTCTCTGGGTCTCCATGGCCTGTGGAACCGGGCTATGCTGGCTTTACGGAGTACAAACTACGGAGTACAGTATTCTGTACCACATGGCTGGTCGTGCTCCCTCAACAAAGCTGCCCGGTAACATAAGAGTCTACGCCAATCGGGCACCTGAGTCTGAAAGGCGCAAATGTAACATTGAAGTTTTCTGCTATGGTGCAAGAGGAGCGCTTTCCTCTATCTTTCATATATGAAATTTTTGTCGCCAATCCCAGGGTTCTATTTTGGCCCTTTGCATGTGAAACCTTTCAGGACACGGGAAAGCTTCAACCCCTACCAGAGCGAAAAGTGAACAGCTAATATACACGTGCGCACGAGACCGCTTCCTCCCTCGAGCTCTCTCAAAGCGCCTTGACAGCACTTCAGGACACCAGCAAACCTCACGTCCTCCCTTGTATACGGTGCTGAGCGGCCATGTCAGACGATCGGTGTTACGGGAACAAGACTACAAATTCTGTTGCGCAAGTTTACGGGGTAACCAATCCTTATATCTGTCCTGGCACGGAATCTTCTTCTGGAAATTCTCGATGTTGTGGTCATAATGGCATCTGCCTTTCCAACGGGATCTGCCAGGCTTTAAACCCACCTGTCAATGGCACTGGGTACTATATCGGGTCTTGTACTGATCGCAACTTTGAGGATCGAGAAGTCTGTGACAACTCCTGCTCATCCTTGAAGACTCAAGAGATTGTATACAATAAAACGGAAGGTGTATGGCACTGCTGCGGATTGAATGCAAAGGGCGAGTTGAAATGCAGCAATCCATCTAAGATCAAATTCGAAGCGCCTTCGCCTGCGGCGTTGAAGTCAGAGTACAGCGCCAGCAGCTCATCGTTCATGGCCACCGCTTCCGCCTCGCAGACCCTTCCATCGCAACCTACAACTACGGTTGCTGTCCCTACTGCGACATCTTCTCCGGCTTCTAGTGGTGGTCTATCTACAGGTGCACAAGCGGGCATCGGCGTTGGCGTTGGAATTGTCGCTCTCGCTGCGATTGTTGGAACTGTTTTCTTCCTGCTTCGCCGGCGGAAAAGACAAAGGCTGCATGTTGAACAACGGGGAACTGGGCCATGGCCTGCTCAGGGTGGTTATCATGTTATGGATCATGGCCAAGTACCCGCCTTTCAAGATCCGGTCAAATCGCCTCCGAACCCTGAGCAGCAATCGGCAGTAGCTGAATTGGGCCCGCATGAAACCCAACCTGTCGAGTTGATGACGAGTACAAGACGAGTAAATTCTACCACAGCCGAATTACCACCTTGATGTTGAAGTTTTATAACGAAAACGCACATCTTTCGGTAAGAGACCAGAAGCTTGAGGACAGCTAAAGTTTGATATACGGCATGGTCCTTTCAGCAAGGTCGGACTCGCTTGGGACGGCGGAGAAGATGCAAGTGGTCGGCCGACGCGTCGACGGTGTGATTCTCATTTGCGATCAGCTCAGCCTCGCGGAGAAATCAACAGCGTATCGGAATAAACCCAAGTCAAGCGGAACCGCCATTGAGCAGCGGGCTGAAATTGAGCGGCAATCTGTTGTGCTGCACGCAGAGGCTTGACCCTGGGAATCTGGGCCAGTGCTCGAACACGAACAGAGTGTGACACAAAGGATGTGCTCTTCGAGATCCAACTCTGGGAACATTCTGAGGAAATCATCGCCCCTGTGCCAGGCTCTGTTGACGCTATCGACAGGATGTTTGAGATTTTGAGATGTGATTAGGCGGTCGGCTCGAATGCTATACAGATTTATGGCAAAGCTCGAAATACGATTAAGCTGCCAAATGACTGTGATTATACTTGCCTGGTGACCGAGTGAACAAACTTCAGTCATGGGACTTGATTCTTTCAACCACAGATCCCCTACATAAGGTCTGAACACCAAGTGCACTAATTCTATATATATCCATTGGCTGCCCACGGCCACCTGCTCCAATAGCGATCTCCCGCGCCCCTCGACTCACTTCACGAAGCTGGTGAAACCCACGAGGCCCGATGCGGTTAGTCATTATACCGCCAGCCTATTTGTCTAGCATCGCCCCTACAACAGACCACAGCGGTTGCCTGTTTCTGCCTTGTACTGCCTGGACCACCTATGGCTCATCAGACGATGTTAAATACAATAATGTACCCGTCGTGGACTTTGGAAACATGCTCGACCTTCTTTCTCGTCCTCCTCGCTTTGCTCTTCACAAGTGGTAATCTTGCCATTCGTCTGATCCGTAAGCGTGACCGTCTCGGATCCCACGGGGAGATGGATTACATCAACCAATTCCAGCTACCTTCTAATGCACAGGCCAATTCACCTCTGTTTGATGGCACGATTCCTGGTGAAATTCGAGACCGTATTTTTGCTTTTACCCTGAGTTGCTTCGAATCGCAAAAGGCATGGGATAGAGACAGTTCATACGTTGTAAGACTTCACCCTTTTTGTCCTGTTAACAATATACAACACAAAAGTCTGTGTACGCTTCCTTCTGTGGCTGACGAGACACAAGAGACCGGAATATGCGGCGCCCCTTGTCGCCGACACGGCAATTCTACAGACTTGCCAGCGCGCCTATGTCGAGAATTGGTTTCGACCGTGGATCTCGGCAACTCACACGTTCTATCTCGCTTGGGAGGGACGCCGGCCTGACAAGGTCACCACCGTCGAAAAGTTCGAACCGACTCTCGAACTACTGTTTGCGACGCACGGCGAGACTGAGATCTCTCATGTGAGAGTGTTTGCTCAACTGTGCTCTCTCGAGAACGGCAGAGAGCTTTCGAGGATTCTCGGCATGAAGAACTTCTTCCCCCAGAAGATCACCATCACCATCCGACACCATGACTGGTGGTCCTGGGAAGAAGACGCGCGGTTGCACATCGGTTCGCAGTGGGTCCGTGACTGTCGTTTCCCCGACACCGTTCGAGAAATATGTGTCGAGCTTGAGAGCCTGCAACGAAAGAAGGATCAGATTGATTGGATTGCGGGAGAGATGGCCCAAGGTTGGCAATTTGCTCGGTGCGATGGAACGAAGCTGTCTGCGAAGCCACAGGACGTACGTGTGAGCCGTTGGAGTGGCAGCTCTACCTGGGAAGGACATCGGTGGTTACGCGACGAAACGAAACCTGGAGTCAATGAATACTACGTCAAGACCATCACCTGGAAGCCAGACCAAAGCATGACTGAGCGTCCCGTACCCAAAAGCCTTCGTGCGCCGAATTCTTTCGGTATCCTCAGACATAGAAACCCATCCATGCCTGTATCACGTATAAGGGGCGCTGGGGTTCCGGAGGGACTTTCAGCTGAGGAGACAGAGAAACTTGTTCGGCGGTGGGAAGGGGCCAATCGTTAGTTGTTGACGAAGATGATTTTGCTGTCAATTATTGCCATTTCACGGACAAATCATAATAAAGTGGTCAACATCCTCATATCTTGTCGTAGATGAATAGTGATATCTCTAGAGGGGTGAGGAAAAGCACAGCCAAGTCAGCCAAGGCCAATGCGTCATCCCCGCAATGTTCGTTCCCTCTCATCTCGTTATCTCAGCCTCATACTCTTTGTATATTCCTTGTATACCCATGTCTTGATACATCTCAAGAAAATCAAGTACTCTTGAACTTGACTGGTTAATCCGTCCTCTGTTGAGACCTACAAATATCAACAATGCCTTTTCCTTTCGTCCTCTCCACCACATCCAATATCTCTTTTCAATCTAGCTTGACGTCTTCTAGTCATCCCTCTCTCCCCTCCACGGCCACATCACAACGAGCTCTCCTTCGTGCCGCTCTAAAGTCGCATAAACGTCTCCCGCCCACAGATCAAGCCAACGGCCTCTTGTCCATTGCCTCCACCATTCACAACTACCTACGCTATCTGCTGACATTAGATCTCGCACTGTCCGGTAAGCCTGTCGCTGGAGAGGAGGTTCATGTCGCATTGGCCAAAGAACCCGAAATCGAGTGGCGTCCTACCCTCAGCTCGGCCTTCATTCCAGGGCGTGAAAAGGATCGCGTCAAAGGCAGAGGTCTCGACTATGAGATTTTCTTTGTTCACCACACCCTCGCCCTAGTCCACCAGCTGGTCGCGAGACAGTCTCTGCTGGGGCTGTATGCCTCTTCAAACCCCACTTCTGAGCAGCGCGCGGCGTTGGTCCAGAATGCTTCCAAGTCCTTGAAGACTGCCCACTCGATACATTCTTATCTCCTGCTACGAACAAATTCCTCCGACGACGGCCCGCCTAATTTCCCTCCAGCTGCGGTCGACATCTCGGCGGCCGTTCAGTCTGCCCTGCAGCACCTGACACATGCGGAATTCGACTTACTGTGTGTTTTAAAGGACGATCCATACCCTGCTTTGCTTGTCCAATCCCGGAACAAGGACGACAGAGAATGGATGATCAAAGCTCCGCAGATACCGAAAGTCCGAGCTCAAGTTTTGACCAGACTGGGCGTCGGAGCGGCGGAGCATGCTTCTGCGGCTGCCGTCGCACTCAAGGTCGAAGCGTCAAAGGTCTCGAAAGATCTGCTGGAGTATTGCGACGGAGTCAGAAGGACCTCGAGAGCCAAGGCCTGCCGATTCCAAGCTCTTGACGAGGACACTGCCGGCTCGACCGGTAAAGGCATCGCGTGGCTCAAGGCAGCGATGAATGAGCTTGGGATTGAACCTCCCAAGGAGGGCTCGAAATCTGCAGGCGCTCTTGGACGGTTAAAAGCCTCTTGGAACGAGCGAAGAGAGGACAAGCGAATCGAAAAGGGGAGCCCGAATTGGGGTTTGGATGGCGGAAAGCTGGAAGAAGGACGTATCGTGGAGTATCTGTACGAGAAGATGACCAAGGAGAATGACACGATCAATATTCAGTTGATCCCCGAGTGGAAGCCTTTGCTGTCTTTGCTACCGAGCGGGATGAACATGCCCATGGACGAAAAACGGAAGCCAGACATCTTGGAAGAGGCAGAGCTTGCCGCCATGAGAGCGCCTCCCGAAGATGATGACTTCAAGGATGCGGCCAGCTCGGATGAAGAAAACGGGGACAGGCAACCGGTTGGTGCATTCCCGGGAACACACCAGGAGTATGGAGGAAACGGAGCAGCATATTATTGAAACGCAAAGCGACGTGCCGATGAGGCGAACTCGATCTCTGTTTTTGGTCTTTGGATCGTTTGGCACTAGGAGGGTCACATCGAAAAGGCCAATGGGTAGGGAGTTCTACGCCTTGACAGCCCCACGCCAACATACTCTTTCGCGGAGACCGCAATTCTTGGCATGTTGCCTGTCGTACACCAAAGCATACAGTTTCTTGGGATTGAGTCTCTGGAAAGTACCTGACCTTGGTGGTGACCCTCAGCCCTGTCACGTGATGGGCTCAAAGTTCATCTCAGCCTTGTTGGACTATTTTGGTCGGGGAACCTGAAAACGGCGCCCCCTGGCCTGAAAAGTGTTTCACAACCCGTTTCATACATCACGCTCGACCCCCACGGTCCAATCACGACGTCAATCACCGGTATCACACACGACGAACCGAGGGGACGGCTTGCACCACGACTTGTCGCAGACGGGCCACAATCAATCATGACTCAAGCGAACCGAAACGACCGCGGGCCTGACGGAAATCGCGGAGTTGGATTGTGTAACTGTCCTAGAGAGTATGGAGCAACCCAGAATGTGGTTGTCGGGCACGGCAGAAGCGTCCACGCCACAGCTCGTGGTTGGACGGAACGTGTCGAGTTTCCCCTTCGTACATGCACGAGACTTACTTTGGGTGTTCTCGAGGCATCTCGAACCGTGGAAAGGCATTGAAATGGTTGGAAGCGAGGACAAGTCCGTGGCACCCTGTCTGTGACTTTTGGGTCCGTCACGGCTCTGGTGGTTGTGATCTTTGATCGAGCAGATGGAGTCCGTCCTCACCGTGTCGTCCTGCCGTGGTACTCCCTGACGGAAACAACACAACCATCCCACTTTGGCGGGTAGAACGGGCTTCAGTGAACCACCGTGGGTCGTAGGTTTGTGGCCCCATCACGGGACTCGAGGGCATATTAATACCTCGTGAGAGTTTGCTCTTTCGAACCCCGAAATTTGGGACTTGGGCGAACACCCAAAAGTGAAGAAACGTCAAAAGGCTGTGACTTCACACAATCGATGACATACTCGGCAACACATCAAATTTTCCAAACGCATACGTTGGAAATATTTTCTTTCGACAGAACTCGGCAGACGACACAACGAAAATGCTACCATTTCAATTTCCGAGTACCATTCTGCCATGTCTCGTCGCTTTTGTCATTCCATACAGCTCCGCCATCCCGGTCTCTTCTTCTTGTTCGACGACGACGACGACACATATTCTACCAGACATAACGATCCGGGATGCTGCCCTTGAATCAACGACACCAACGGTACCGTCACCAACCAGGATTCCAACCGAAGCTTTGTTCGTGGAGTTCACACCGTCGCCTAGTGTGGTGGTGGCGGCGGCGACGGTGGTCTCTACGACAACAAGTGCCGAGGGCGCCGGGCACGGCAAATCGTAAAACAACTGGCAGATTTGTCGTTGCCGGTTCAGTTACAAATCCGCCCTGTCATGTCAAGGCCATGCCCTCACATCGGTTTCTCGATGTTTCCAATCACGGGTCATAAAAAAAGAGGGACAAGGCAGGACGCAAAAGATGTGGGAAGACGGTATGACGGTGTATCACGACTGGACTCGATCAATCACGTCGAACCTTGCGTGTACCCTCGCGGAGGGCACGGGACGTGGTCAGCTAGTAGCTATACGTACTCTGGGACGGTGGACAGTGGATACTTCCTCGGCATCCTGTGTACCGTGTATAGTGTTATAACTTCTTCTTACTTGTTCATGACATTCTCGTGCAGCACAAATTACAGGCCAATCCCAGCCATTCGAAGCTACCTGCCTTTTCTTACCCATCCATACATACACACATACAGTATACACACACACACACTTCTACTCCGTATACAGGTAAAGTCTTGTAGTACAAACTAGTGGGACACAAACCCTCTCGAAAGAATATTGAGATACACACAAAAAAGACATGACAAGCCCATAGAATACATTGCAAGGGTCACACACTGCAACAAGGCCAGAGAGTAGTGATGTCCTTTTCTTTCCTGCTTGCCTTTGTTTCTCTCTTCTTCCGCACTTCCACTCTTCCACTCTTCGCTCTTTCGGATGATGAGTTGAATTTCTAGTCGAGTAGAGACATGAGAATCAACAACGAACAAAGAAAAGCCGAGATTCTTTGATGATGCGAGAAAAAACCAGGTCAAATCAACAATCTTTGCTCTCTCCTCCACCTCCAATTGAATCTTGTAGTCTCGTCGACTCTTACAAAACCTCGCCCACAATCTTGGCCGCTTCTTTATACGTGGTCAACAATTTTTCGCACTTTTCTCTCTCCTTCTTGATACCATCGTCCTCGTACAGCAGCTCCCCGAACAGATCCTCCTTGTACAACTCGCTCACCAAACGATTCTGCACTTCGTCCCTGCTATGGTTGACGAGTAGGTGCATGATGGCCTTGGGAACTTGATCGGCAATCGTCTCACGGACAATGTTGAAGTAAGAGCTAATAAGGCGACGGATGAGTTCGGTTTCCAAGGCTTCTCGATCGGTCAGGACAGGCTCTGCGGATTGCTCGGGCTGTGTATTTCATATTAGGATCAATCTTGTAGAATTTGGGGGAAAGGAACGGCTTACGAATAGTGACGTCGGTTCGCCATACTCTGATGGTGCATATTCATCATTCATCGGAGGGGGGAATGCAGGTGATCGATCTGTGAAGCTGCCCCTATCGGAACGTCGGATACTCTGACTGAAGCTCGGTTCTACGCTGTGGCTGACGTGTCTCGAAGCAGCAGATGAGTTGGCAGGTGGCATCGATGGCATACCTGATGGCAAACCGTCTTTTCCAAAAAAGTAGTTTAGGAAAGAATCTCGAGCTCCACCGGTGCCTCCTGCAGCAGCAGATATGCTGCCAATACCATTTTCTCGCTCTCTTGCCACGGCTGGAGACATACTTCGGCTCACGGCAGGATGCTTGCGGATCGGAAGAGCGGTCGCTTTGTCGTCTTGTTCAGCCTCCTCATCATCTGGAGTGGCTGTGCCGTTGACACCCAGCTGCTTCATTCGTTGCTTCTCGCGTTTTCGTCGCTCTTCTGCTTGGGCGGCTCTCTTATCCTTTTCGTTCTTATTCTGTATGACAGAGGACATTGCTGCTGCGGCTCCGAGGAAATTAGGATGATTGGTGTTGATGTATGCCCGCTGAATAGCAATTAAGGATTCAACGTAACTCGAGGCAGGTCCGAGACGTTCTCGCAGAAGATCCGAGACAACTTCAATAAGCTTGCCTTGCAGTTTCGGAAATCTTGAAAGCTCTGTGGATCCGCAAGTATGGCAGATCTTGATCAACTCTTCATAGACCAACTCCACACATCGTTGACTAGGAATCTCCAAAAGCTTGATCTGAGGTTTCACCAAAAGGTCAAATGCCAGTTCGGGAACGAACAAACTTGGTCGAGGACCGGTAGAGTTCCGGATTGCCGTTCGAATGTCCAAGACGGAGAGATTATGGGTTGGGTCGATAGTTTCCAGCGAATTTCCAAAAACAGAGTTGAAGATGTAATATATCCGGGCACCACCGCAAAGCTCTTTGGTCGAAATTTCTGAAGATGTACCATCAATAGAGGAGATGAAGGCATTGGCGAAACGTGTCATCAACTGCAAAATCAATGAACCGCGATGTTCTTTGCCTGCAAATTGCTTGCTGCCGTAGCTTGCCAACTCTTGTTGTGTCTGACCCATCAGTGTATTCAGTCTTGCCTTAATATCGGGCAGTCTGTCTCGAATGTGAGCCATTAGGGTGGTGTTCAGCGTCTTCGCGAGGTATTGTGTTCCGCATCGCGTCGCCATGTTTCGGTATGCAGGGTGATGCCTGAAGAACTCAGCTTCGGACCTGAGAGCATCCGACATGGGTTTGTTTGTCTGGATATCTTGCTGTGATCTGTTCACAACACCAATGAAACCCAACTTCAACGGATATACGCGACCAGACAAAATATCCAAAGCATTTGTACCATGATCCATGAGATCTAATTTTGTCAGGACACCAATTGTCCTTCTTCCCATCGGGTCGACATGCCGGGCAAGTTTAAGGGCTTCCGAATTCACAATGTCGACATTTGCGGGTGACACGGCAAGAATGATGCTGTTCGGTTTGGCGATGTACTCGGAGATGAGGGTTCTCGTCTGCTTCTCGATGTCTGTAGGCTGGTCACCGATAGGGACCTTGGTCAAACCGGGCAAGTCGACCAGGGTCAAATTAAGGACGTGTGGAGAGAAGATTTTGAGGTTGATGGGCTGTCTGTTGATGCCCTTGTTATTGCCAGCTATTCTCGCTGTCTCGTTCTCGATCTCGGCCCGGACTTGGTTAAAGTTTGAGAACTTGCGACCTGGGATATGGTGGAATTCTGCCCATTCTCCGTGCTCGGCCACGCTGGCAGCAGAGTGGGGGACGTGAACCTCATCGTTGTTTGCGTCGGCATCTTCGTCAGGAGGAATGTTTATGAGCTGTAGAATCAACGGGCGACGTGTGACAATGCCACTGCCTCGGGGGAGAAAGTCCCGTCCCACGATATTTTCGAGCACAGAAGATTTGCCCGAGGACTGGGAGCCAACAACGACTATCTGGGGGAGATCGAGAGAGTCATTCCCAATGGTATTGAAAACCAGGTCTTGAAGCTTGTTGACGGTTCGGAGGAGGTCATCGCCGAGGGTGGTCATTGTTGACGACCGTGGCCGATCGGGGCTCGTTTCAGAAGAGGAAAGCTGGCAACGCGACGGCGAAATAGAGTGGGAAGGTCGGTGAAGAATTCAGTAGTTGGCGATACCAAGAATGTCTCGCCAGGAAACAAGTTAAAGAAGAGAAGAAAGAAAATAGGAAGGCCAGGTGAGTTGGTTGGTTAGATGGCTAGGCACATGTTTACTTGAATGCGGTTCCTGGAACTTTGGGATGCAGAAGAAAACGCGCAGGAGGCGCAGAAGGCTGCGATCGGAAGAGATTGGGCTTTGATGAGAAATTGTGGGCGTCTGACACGTATCTCCTCCCGCGTTGTAGACGAAGACGTTGGGCTTATATCGTGCCAAGTAATTCTGTCAGACATACTCATGGCAGCCACCAACTTCCCTGACGTAGTTACATTGATGCATCCAACAAGATCACAAGAGCAGGTTCTCTACTCGTATCCCGCGGTTCTTCCATTCATCTCCCAGGTCTAACGGAGCTGGTTCAACTCTCCTGCGGGGATTGCAAGGCACATTACGACATGGTCACGACGTTGCTAGCAAAGCCACATCTTCCAGATCTCTCCGGTAAGACACCAAGACTGTAAACACTTTCCACTTGTTCATTAAAGTATTGAACATATTCCATCCTTCCTAGTAGTGCCTCACACCTCATGATGCTGGCGACATGCCTTGCCTGTGTGTGCCTCCTTCTGGCCACAGCAATAAAAACATCAGCCTCACCCATCCACCGAGATCAAAAGATCTTCGAATTCCCAGACGCGACCATCATCGAGCCCGACCTCTCCCAGACGTCAGCTATTCGAGATACACTAATCGCCAACAAGATCATTGGGGATGTTCTCGATGATTTCGAGCCCTCATACTACATCGAAATTGACTATCCGTCCACTCATGACAAAGTTGTTCTCGGCAACGACATCCCTGTGGACGCTGTTTCGGAGAGACCTGTCTTCAACTTCTTCTCAATGAAGCCTTCCTCCGTTGAAACGATGAACTCGACGTTCACCCTCGTTCTCACTGATCCCGATGCAAAGTCCCGCGACAAGCCCAAATGGAGTGAAATGTGTCATTGGATCCTAACCAATTTGACGACACCAACCCCTGGGCCACCTCCGGGAACCCTCCACGCCAAACCAGGAGAAATCATGGAATACCTGCCTCCAGGCCCGCCGCCAAAGACCGGAGCTCATCGTTATGTGTTTGTCCTTTTGGCAGGAGACTCGTCCAACCTGAAGGCACCCAAGGACCGTAAGCACTGGGGTTATGGTAAGGTTCGACACGGGGTGCGAGACTGGGCCGAAGAAAATGATCTGAAGGTGGTGGGCGCCAATTTCTTCTTTGCACAAAATGAAAAGCAATAAAAGCTGGACGGTCATGATTTTGTTCCCGATCTTGTACCTGTACTCATAGCACAAAATTTTCATCGAGCCTGGTATTCTTCAGGAGGCTCAATTCCGCAAGACTTCTCGACACAGTGTGCATTGCTTCTGTCCCCTGACCTAGTTGTTTTTCCATGTTGCTTGACAAAGCGACCTCAGCCGCTTCCGCTGCAAAAAGCCATGGTTTGATGCGCTGTGCCACTTCGTCGTCGCCGACTTGATCTTCTCGAGCCTCAGATTTGGTCCCAATGGCAGAAGCAGCATGTTCGAACCTTCCTGACCTAGCAAGGATTGGAAAGGCTTGCAAAAGCTGGCTCTCATCACTAAGTCTGTCCAGCATATTCTTGGTTGCTCGTGCTTCGTCGTCGAGCTGTTCACGTATTAGTGCGAGATGTGACTTTACGACAGAGTTGTGTCGTAAGCTGGGGAGTAGATTTCTTTCAACATTGTTAAGTACAGCGGAACCACCGAGCCCTTTTTGCCTTGTCGCTTTCCCCTGCTCCTCATGTGGCTGCTGCTCAGTACTTTCTCCCCCCTTGAACGGAATAGGAGCCCTAAGGTTGTCGACAGCGTCAATAATTCGCCTTCGAGCGTCCAGGTATCTTTCGTATTGTTCATCGATCATATCATCAGTGATGACCTCTCCGTTTTGTCCAGGTCCAGGGTCCTGAACGTCTTTGTCGTCGCCACCATGCTCTCCGAAATTGTCTTGACATTTCTCCAAGCTCTCCTCAAGCCATTTCGTTAGGTGCCGTCGTGTCGTCAGCATCGCCCGTACCCGCTGCTCAGGAGTGACGCCGTGTTCGTCTGACTGCGCTCGCACTCTCGCCTTGTCAAGCTTTGCCTTTTCTGCTTTCGCTTCGAGGTGAGACTGGACAACAGCCATTTCGAGAGCTTTGACATGTCTCATCAACGTGTGCTCCAGCAGGCTGATGTCGTTTCTAGCATCAGGTGGCACGGTGAGTTGTTCTTGAGCAGCAGCCGGTCGAACTTTCCATTTGGCCGAATCAAGCAAGCTTTTGATCTTATCCAACTCGTCTTTCAGCACCACGAACGAGGTGTTCCTCTTCTGTAGACTCCGTAATTCGACATGTCTGTTGAGCAAAGTCCTGGGATTATGACTTGAATCCCGGTCGTCACCTTTGTTAGATTGGCTTCGTCTCCGTCGTCTCTCCAGCGCGTCCTCGTACTTGCTTTGAGCTGCTTGATTTTCTTCAATGGCTGAGGCATATTCAGCATTGAGTTTCTCCAATTCGCCTTCAAGTAGAGGGCTCTGGGCCGTGTCCTTAGAAGGGCTTGACAGCATGGCTGCTGGTCGAAAGGTCTTGCCTCGGTCGAAAATGGCAACGTGCAGCGTAAGACTCCTTGACTCTCACTTGTCACTATGAAATTGCTGGATTGATAGCTCAATAACTCAACTGGACGTCACTCAAATATGTGGACTTCAGAGTAATGGTGCTGCAGTGTTCTGGAAATCTTCACAACACGCGTTCGTTTGCCGCTTCCAAAAAGCCCACCTCCACTGCCGCTTTCCAAGCTTCTGTCAGCATAGTTGACCGCCGTGTCGAATTTCTAACTATACTGCCGACTACGTGATCGACATGGAAGACTTTGATTTTGTGTGGAAAAGCAGGATGTCCATCTGTCGTCTTCACTCTACGGAGACTCCGTACCAGGTCTCCATTGGTTTAGTTTTTAGGGGATGGTGCTAATTTGGCTTAGGGGCTTCTCGGGGTGCGCAATGGTTGACCCTAAGCCTACCTTGGTACCTAAGACCCTAGATAGCTGAATGGGTTTGAAGGACTCTGGATCCTTCCTTGCTATCTCCCAGATATTGTCGACATATTCTAGGATCCGATTATCCCATGTACAGGATTATGAACAAGGCTGCTGCGATGATGAGAGACTGTCAACCCCAAGCTAACAGAACCGGATCTTTGACGGACATGAGGCTTCTTGTGCTGTCATCAGCCACTCCAAATCCCCTTTGTTGGCCACTTACAACGTCGTCCCTCTCGGGAAGAATGAATGTGATGCCAATTTTGAATATCGCATTCGTTGCCTTGGGCAGTGATTGCAGAAGAGTAGAGCTCAACGCAACGACGGCTGAGATCGCATCTACCTGCGAGGGAGACCATAAATTGGGAAAAGAAGATACCATCATGGCATGTAGGGTGACTTGGATTTTTCGCTACAGCACGTCTTTGAAATTGAGATGCCCTTGCACATTTACCTGGACTGTCCGTCATACTTGGAAGGTGCCTAAGCTAAGTTAATGTCTGGTAGGGAAGGAGCGTCGCTGTGCCTCTTTCGTGCCCTTGTCCATTGAACTCCGTCTACACTTGCCCACCTCTCTCCTCTTACAGTTGCCTTCGTCGTCTCCCTCTCTCTGAATCTCATCTCTTTTGCACCTCAAATCAATCGGGTTGCTCCATTTGCAGCACCCTCACCTCCTTTCATCTGCAACAAGCATTCAAGAAAGCTTTCCTCATTCAGTCATCGAAACCATGGGTCGCTGGGGACATCGTAAGCATTCATCCTCAACACCGAGACTATCCTCCCTAACTCTTTCAACAGGGGTCTTCGAAGGAGACAATGATCTGGATCTCAAATCGGATATCATTGGTGCCATCAGAGAGAAACTCAAGGCCAAACCTATCACCTTCGAGGAAGACGATCTGGAAAACCTCTTCAGCTGCAAGGCCAACCCGAACAAGCAGCAGACACCACTTTCCACGAGCACCCAAAAGCTTCGTGATGATGTCAATTGCATCAGCGACGAGTTGTTTGAAGACTTTCGTCAGAAGGAAGACCAGTTTTACGGCGAATATATTGTTGTCATACTCGGAGCAGTTATGATGGAAGCAGGAGTGAGAATTTCCACGGAGAACATGACCTACCTTCGTCAGGCGGCAGAAAAGGTTGAAAGCTATCCTGGTTACCGGCTGCCAATCGGAGATCTCGGCTTCCGTGACCCGGGCATGGCACAGTTTCTCGCTGCCCTCAGTCATTATCAAGATGGTGAGCCACGGGACTGGGATGGACCAAGGTATGTCACGGCATCCCTTATTACGTTTGTTCAGTTGATAAGGGGCTAACGTGGTTTAAACTAAGCTGCTTCTACTGCGGCTGTATCCAACAGGACATCAACCCGCGATCTCTCTTGAAATGCGGTCGTTGCAAGCAGGCTTGGTACTGTGGCAAAGAGTGCCAGAAGGCGAATTGGAAGAACCACAAGCTCATCTGCCACAAAGACGGTATACCACCAATTACCCCTGGGGGATTCACAATGCTGAACGTCTGAGCACTGTGAGAAAGGAAGGTTTGAAATGAGAGACAACCACACAACCCACCGAGAGATGAAATGCAGAGATATAACCAGGGGTCCTCGAGTGTAGGAGGGATTGAAATGAAGGAAAGTTGAGTGAACGTGTTGAGCGAAGAACTACAGGACGGTGCTGAAATATCTCTTTCGTTATTTGCCCAAGGGAACTAGGTGTAAATCAGGCTGAATGATGTACTCTATTAGGGACCGTCTGTACCTTTCGAGGTGTACCGTGATGTTGCCGTCTGTCTCAGACCTCTATGATTATATCTAGGCCAAATCAAGTAGCAATTGTTACTCCCCGGCAAACATAGATTTATATGAACCCCCGAGTTAATGGGCCAACTGAGAGACATGTGTCCCTGTGGAGCATTGACCTTGGAATAGATTGAGCTTTTTACTCGTCGAGACAAGTCGTAGCAAAAAAAGGCTCCAGACGCTGCTGGATCGCACAGACAGGCGTACCCCCGAGCTGAAAAGAGAGGTTTTACATCCGGAATGATTCTCTTGAACCAGCTGAAACTCTTTTGGATTTGGGAGATCCATTACGGAGGGAAGTATACAAATCACACCCCGATGCTGCCTTTGGTACGCCCCGCCCTCAGAGCTCTTTTGACCATGGTCATCCCTCACTACCTGAAGATCCCGATAGTTGTCCCGAGAGTTCAATTCAATTTTCTGCCGACTCTGGATCTTGACCTGGATTCGGCGAGGATTCGTCGAGAACGGCTGGTGTTCTCAAGGAGAGGAGATGCTCAGGAGTGCGTAGAGACATCAAAAGCCTAGACATGGCAGCCAGTAGCCAGTCCAGTATCGCCTGTCTTGTGGATCTCAGGGGAGGCTGAGTGTTGTGCTTGAGAGACATTTTGGTGCCGAGGTAGCCATCGAGATGGACGTGCTGCATACCCAGGCTTATGTGTTTGGGAAGCCCGGCACTACGTCTGACAGGAGGGATGGACTGTTACAACAAGGATAGTCAGGCTGACCGGGGTGCGGGTGCAATTGTTCGATTTGATGACTCGGGTGTTTGTCGACAAGAGCCCACACGCTGCTGCTGCTGCTGTTGTTGCAACATTGAAAGCAAAGAGCTTTCAATCTTTCTTTGGGATGTGACTCTTTGCGTCTGCCAGTTGGCGTGTGAGTTCCCTTCCGTCCTCTCCGTCTCCGCCTTCGACCTCGATGCCTCGCTCGAGCCACTCGACCGCGTCACTCCACCGTCCCATCTCCATCAGACACCTTCCACCCACGATGTAGGCCTTGGGGTTGCCGGCCAACCTTTCACCGTTGGGACCTTGGCTGGGCCCCCTCTTGCATTCGAGGCTGCATTCGGCGTCCTTGAGGCCCTCGGGGAATTTTTGTATGCCCGCATTCGCCGCGGCCCGAGACAGATACATCAAGGCCAACTCTTCCCTCGCCAGGCCCATGGCCTCCCAGCCGGGCCGGGCGGCGGCCATGTCGATGGCGATGCCCAAAAGTCGGATCGCGTCCTCGTGGTTCCCCTTTCGGGAAGACTGTGCGGCGGTGTCTCGCAGTTTGGTGATGTTGGCGGACCTTTTGGGATGGACGGGGACAGGAGGAGGGGGGACGTTGTTGGGGGTCTCGAGGGCCTTCATCGCCGCATGTAGACCGTTGACTTGCGCCACGGCGTCCTGGAGTGTCTGGTCGGTGGAAAGGACGGAGATTTGTTTCGTCTGGGGGTCGATCTGGAGTGGGAGGTGAGTGTAAGTTTCGAGGGCATCTTCGGTCGAAGCCATGGCTGTTTGGTTTTTTGTTCTTGGATTTGCTGCCCAAGGAAGAATCAACAGCTTCTGTATAGGAGGGAAATTCAAGCGCTGGATTCGAGCACAGGACGTCGTAAGGGGAAAGATATCTTGGTTGCCAGAAAAGAAGGGCGTTGGAGGTTTACGACTTGGAATCTCCGAAACGTGTTCACACTGACCGAGATGGACAGCCTTGCTTACATAATTTACACCTGGGCACCCTACTAGTATTAAGAACCTACAGTACACCTCAAAAACGACACTAAGCACCATGGCGGCCTATGTAGGTGATCAATAGATCTTTAACATGATAAATTTACATGCTGTCCAAAACATCTAGGTGCTTGTTCGTACGAGCGTGGCCTTTACAAGGTCATCCCAAACTATCAACTATCCAATCCGGTTCAGCATCTTCCTCCTCTGGATCATGCGAGAGGAGCGACGTTTGTGAAACTGGGCTGTGGGAACCAGTCTCAATTCGCTTCGTGCTCGCTTCGGGTTCTTGTGTCTCGGGGGTTGGCGCAGCGTTAGGCTCTGGCTCTGGCTCTTCCTCTACGGGTGTTGGGATGGCATTATTCATACCGGAATCTGCTGCATTTGGCGGTCCTGTGACTTTTTCAAGTGTACGTAACTCCTGTTGTGATCCAGTATTATCAGGTTGGGGTGCTGTGTGAAGACGGCGTTGCTGTCGTCGGACAATAGAGATGCCGTGATGAGGGAACGAAGGACCTGGATCAGCTTCGTCTTCAGGGACGAAACCACCTCCAAATTCGTCGGCGTCTGCATCAGGAGTATGAATATGGTCGTTCAGCTGAGGCTGACCTGCCATCACTTCTGAATTTGTAGTCATGCCTTCATTTGGTTCACCTTCGTCTTCCGGGATAAAGCCTCCACCAGAATCATCATCGTCGTCTGCGAAAAGGGATTCTGTCTCGTCGGCACGGCCTTGCTCTTCGACTGTGAAGCCGCCGCTCTGAATCTCGTTTCCATCGTCCTCCTTACCGTCACCTCCGAAAAGAGGCGCAGCTTTAGATCTCGGCCGACTATCATGTTCATTACTCGGAGCAGCCTCCACTTTATGAGGAGATCTGATAATGACAACATCCAGATGTACAACTTTAGGCGGAAGGAGCTGATCCATGGGCTTCAACTTTGCCAAAACTGCATCGTGGTCCGCCATGGGTAATTTGGCACCTGGCTGGCCCTGATCTGCAGCCTCAGGAACGAAGCCGCCGCCATGGTCCTCTGTATCTTCTTTGTATGTCTCATCTCCGTCGTCGTCATCATCATCATCATCATCATCATCATCATCATCGTCATCGTCATCGTGGCCCTTTCTTCCAGATTCTTCCTCGCTGTTCCCATATTCACGATTGACCCGTTCTCGTACACGCAAAGCTCGAAGCCACCTCTTCCATAGGCCAAGGATTATCCTGCTTCGCTCGGCTTCCGCTTCACTGCTGGCTTGAGATTCTAGTCCTTCAATCACGTTGGTCATGGCGCTTGTCATATCTAGACTGACGACCACGCCATCGATCACGGCTGTGCCTTGTCGACCTTTGAATTCAAAACCAGTCACAGCATCAGTGTAATCAATACCAAGAACCCGCGCTGCTTGAGCAGCGAGATGGTGACGTATATGAACTCCACCAGCAGGAATCATGGTTGGAACATACACATCCAAATTTCCATATCCGTTCTTTGGAATCTTGCCGTCGACCACGGGAGGTGGCTGATAGACGCTGGTTTGGTAGTCAGCATATAGTGGGGTGCCTTCTAGTTGTTCATCGGCATCGTCCCCATCGTCGATTTCTTCGCCAGGCGCCACCAGTGGGTGATCGCGCCTCTTCTTGGACAAGACACGTTTCAGAGGTTGTTCACCTTCATTCACATCTCTTCCTCGTCGATACCAAGCATCAGCAGTACGACATAGATGTACATTACGTCTGCGATAGACGCTTTCCAGCTTTGCATTCTTACTAGGTCCAGTACTTACTTTTCCCACTTCGTGCTTAGGGTGTATGACCTCGTTCATGCGTAGATGTCGCTCAAGGACATATACTGGGTGACCTTTGAAATCTTGCACATTGCGTGGCATTGGCTCGCTCTGCGTGCGCTTGTTGAGAAATGCATCCTCAATCACATCTCGGCCTTCTTCAAACGGTTTTCGGAACGTCTGCATTGTCCTGACCCACCACTCTTCTCCCCCTTTTGTGCTTTCCACTCTCTGTCTGCGTGTCTTGGCATTGTACCATTCCGTATATCGTCTCGTCACATCTTTGGCGGAGCCATCGTCCTCAAAGGCAATCACGTAAGTCATACTGTTTAAGTGGTCGGACGCAGGCGGTTCGAAGCCTCTCTTTGGCTTGTTAATGGTGCCACGCACGATGGGATCAAGTGGAATCCATGTCGCTATCGATGGAGAGTATGCTTCGACCCAGAAGATGGGATATGGAGAGTCAACAATCTTTTTCTTCTTCTTTGGCAGAGTGCTTCCTTCGGATTGTGTGACTGTGACGTTACGTCCCGATGAAGTATAATCTTGCGCTGGAGCATGGTAATATTGTGGTTTGGGCTTCGTGGGGCTCTGACCCTTGGCGACGCCGGAGAAAGGCAGAACCTGAAGTGAACATACCAACCGAGCGTCCACAGCGACTGATCGAAGTAATGCGCAAAATAGCTGTGCTCCCAAGTCTCGCGAGCCAGAACGTGAGTGTGCTGCTGCCCTGAAATCGTCAAAATCTATCAGATCTTCAGCATCGTCGCTCTCCTTAAGAACGTCAACGTCGTCCTTCCAATATGCTCGACGCATGCCCCTGACTGTTACTTCCCATTCCAGTTTCCATATCGCACACACTTCCTCTATTCCTTTCGTGAATGAATGGTTCCGCTGATATTGGGGTTTGGAATCGTCCACGTGAAGCAGCGCGGTCACCTTTTTAGGGATGAGAGGCTTCAAAACGGACTGGACGGATGAACTTTCACACCATCTGTTTCGACAGCTCAAGTGACCTAGCAAACAAAGTAGATGCGCTTTATGAACATCTAGACGTAGCTTTCGCTCCGCAGGGCTGACGGGTTTTCGGCGTGGCAAGGCACGACGTGGTGTGTCAAGATTTGTTTTTGACAAATCGAGCTCGAGGTGGCTTTGGTGCAATGTGTCAGGTACGTCTCGTTCTTCCGGTGGTGCCTCCAGATCAACGTCCTCAAATTCGACATCTGATTCGTCGGAGCCCTCGAAGTCGTCATAGACAATTTGCTGTGGTTTTCCGGGAGTATTGTTGCCTGTTACATCGGCATCCGTTACATTGTTCCCGGGACTGAAGAGATCAAAATCAAGACCGATTCCTGACGAGGGTTCTTCACTGATCTTTCTCCTCTTCGTGGGTCTCGGATTTGAAGATCTGGTCTGCTCCTCGCGTGCAGCTTCGGCGAGCATCTCACCGTACACCGCGGGAATGCCATCGTCTAAAGCGTCGCGGTCTTGTCGGACGGATTGGCGCGTTTTTCGCGTAGTTGTCCTTCCTGTCTGGCGTTTTCGAGGTGGCATAGTTATAATAGACCCGCAGAGCCCGCGAACTCGTCATGGTTGAGTAGATCGCTGTATTGATGTCCCGATTGCCGGGTCTTGTTGTGGTATGAAATTTAACCCTCTGAACGCAGATGGGAGCCTATTGATAGCAGGGATGACGTAATCAAACTCCCGGATTCTCCAATTCCATCCAAGCAGGTAAGCACTTACGCAAAAACGACCGCCGCTGTCAACGAGGATTCCCCTCTTCAAATCGGATTCGACGGTGTTTTCTACATTGACAGATCTATAAGAAAGTGAAAAGGTGAGTTGTGACTCATGGGAACACAGATTGAACAACAGATCCCGAGCAAAGATTCAAGAAATGGAGTACGGAGAAGTAGATTCAACTATGTACTCAATTTGTGTACCTGGCCTAAGAACAAGAGTCGATAGACTTTGGTGTGATATGAATCCTGATCAAAATTCCGTATTTCATCAATCAATCAATTATCCAATTTAAACATTAAGGAATGACTCTAGCCGTGACTATATTCAAGCGGCTAGTGATGTAGAACACTCAAAACAAAATCCCATAAACCCTCTATGCATGTTCCAAATCATTTTTCATCCAAACCATTATGTTCCCCTTGGTCCTGGGTGCCCGTGAGAAGGTGACGGCTTAGTTTCCGCCCTTCTTGCCCAGGTCACCACCGTGCCAGTCGCCCCAGCCCGCGGAGGCAGTGGTGCTAGTGGCCCAGCTGCTCGTGGTAGTGGTCGTGGTAGTTGGGGTCACAGTGACAGTGATATAAACGGTGCTCGGGATACAAGCTGGGGTAGTGGTGGTGCTTGGCTTCCAGTCGTTCCAGCCTGAGCTAGCCGGGGCAACCGTGGTCGGCTTGGGAGCGGGAGCGGAGCTCGACCAGTCGTTCCACTGCGAGGATGGAGCAGGAGCAGGAGCAGAGCTGCTTGGCTTCCAGTCGTTCCAGCCTGAGCTAGCCGGGGCAATTGTGGTCGGCTTAGGAGCGGGAGCGGAGCTGGACCAGTCGTTCCACTGCGAGGATGGAGCAGGAGCAGGAGCGGAGCTCGACCAATCGTTCCACTGCGAGGTAGGAGCTGGCTTGGTGGTAGTGGTAGTCCAATCGTTCCATTGCGAGGTAGGAGCTGGCTTGGTGGTAGTGGTAGTCCAATCGTTCCATTGCGAGGTAGGAGCTGGCT